TTCTTGGATTCACCTTGGATTTGCAGAAAAGAAGTGTCATGTACAACCGTGCATGTCAGGCAGCTGATCTGCCCAACCCGCAATCCGCCGCCACTCCTGCCACTTTGCTTAGCGGGGTTCTTGCCAGATCACACACCATCAAACGTTGCTCCTTTCCTGCGTCCCAGATACGGGACGATTTGAACTTCCTGTGGCAACTAGCTGAACAACAGCAGCTGCCGATACACACACCGAAATTTCGAAGGCAATTCTGGACGTAAAACGTGCTCTGCTGCTTCATTAGGCTGTTGCAAGTGTTTTGTTGCAATGTACTTGCCACACCATCGAATGCATGCTCAAGTTCGCAGCCGGTTTAGCATCATGTCGCGCGCACGTAAAGTGCATAGCTGCGCGCGGGTGTACCCGGCGCAGAGGGGGAGGGGCAGTTGACGAGCCTGGCTACGTCTTCTGCCCGCGACCTCGTGGTGGAGTGCCGCTCACAATTGTGGCTGGCAATTGCCGCAGTAGTTTCTCAGATGAGATCATCATCTTGTCTGGATTTGGGGCTCTGCAGCTTTTTCAGTAATTAGTGTTGTGCTGCGCTCAGAGGCGTTCTGGGTCGAACTCAAGCCGCCGGCTTGCACTTGTTGCAGTTTACCCCGATTTTTGCTTTCGCAACCAGCTTGTCTCACCGCATCGTTTTCCCACTTCGGGACGTGTGTGTGTTTACAGTTTACACACCTGAACATTGTCCTCACTGACAATTCCTTTATACAGGGTGGGGAGATCTCGAATAGCTGCGCGCGGGTGTACCCGGCGCAGAGGGGGAGGGGCAGTTGACGGGCCTGGCTGCGTCTTCTGCCCGCGACCTCGCGGTGGATTGCCGCTCACACTGGCGGCTTGCAAACACGGCGGTTCTAAGTCTGTTGAAGTCATGTTCAATTCTGGATTTGGGGCCCTGAGGCTTCTACAGTGTTTCGCCGCCCTCAGCATTTTGTGTGTTGACCACAAGTCGTCGACTTGCACTTACTGTAGGACTACTTCAGTCATTCTGTCAAAACCAGCTTACATCTCAGCGTCCTTTTCGCCCTTCGGGGCGTGTGTGTGTGCACACGCCTGAACATGGCGATCACTGAGACTGAGCTTCTGCGTCCGACGCATTTCAAGGCTGTTCATTTGATTCTCGGCCATTGCAAGTTTTATTGGCCAAACAGAGCTTTCTGTGAGTATCTCGGACCATCTGCCGCGCAAGGCTGGCCATGTGAAAATAACTCGTCATTCTTTGATGGTGCTGCACACGACGGCATGTAAGAATCACATGCAGTCTTTTCGGGGTGCTGCGCACACAGCGCTTCTGCAGTGTGGAACACAGGGTTTTCCCTGTGCCCCCATTTTCCGCGAGACCGGAACCTAGAGCCTTCGGACTTTTCCATTTTGCAGGGGGCAGTGACCCGCTCATAAGCTCACTGCCAATGAAGCTGCTTATGAGTTGGGAGGATATCCAGGCTGATCACCTGGACGTACCTGCATGTAGAGTGGGATACCACACTGCTTGTGACATCATGTACCCTGAAGTCCCGAGGCAGGCAACCATGCTCCTTTTCTTTCTTCCCTTCTTCTTGGTACCGTGACCACTGCATCAGTTCATGCCAAGCCAAAGTAAGTGTGTGTGTGTGTGTGTGTGTGTGTGTGTGTGTGTGTGTGTGTGTGTGTGTGTGTGTGTGTGTGTGTGTGTGTGTGTGTGTGTGTGTGTGTGTGTGTGTGTGTGTGTGTGTGTGTGTGTGTGTGTGTGTGTTGTGTGTTGTGTGTGTGTGTGTGTGTGTGTGTGTGTGTGTGTGTGTGTGTGTGTGTGTGTGTGTGTGTGTGTGTGTGTGTGTGTGTGTGTGTGGTGTGTGTGTGTGTGTGTGTGTGTGTGTGTGTGTGTGTGTGTGTGTGTGTGTGTGTGTGTGTGTGTGTGTGTGTGTGTGTGTGTGTGTGTGTGTGTGTGTGTGTGTGTGTGTGTGTGTGTGTGTGTGTGTGTGTGTGTGTGTGTGTGTGTGTGTGTGTTTGTGTGTGTGTGTGTGTGTGTGTGTGTGTGTGTGTGTGTGTTGCTTTTGTCCCCCCATTCTCCGGGCACTCCTCAGGTCATCGTCCGCGCGCCTCGGACTGAGCTGTTCCCGCCTCATCGAACTTGTTTCGCTGGCCAGCCTCAGTCTCCACTTCGCTTCTTCCTTTTGTCTTGAGCGTCTGTCTGGGCATTCGCCCCTGCCTTTGGACTGAGCCGTTTCGCTGCGCCTGGTAAAGCTCGCTTTGCTGGCCAGCCTCAGTCTCCCACGTCGCGCCCTAGTTTCTGGTTCTAGAGCCTCTTCATTGCCATGAAATACTGCTGGTTCACCTCGGACTCTCTGGGCGCCTGCCTTTGGACTGAGCCTTTTCGCTGCGCCTGGCAAACCTTGCTTTGCTGGCCAGCCTCAGTGCCTGTGTCGCGCCGTGTAGGCCCAGTTTCTCGTTCTCCAACCTCTTCAGCGCCAAACCCCCTACTCGTGCTGCAAGGCAATAACAAAGTGAGGTGCTGCTGTTCACCTCCAACTCTCTGAACATCCGCCCCTGCCTTTGGGCTGAGCCTTTTCGCTGCGCTTTGCTGGCCAGCCTCACAGCCTCCCTTGGCCCAGTTTCTGGTTGTGTAGCCTCCAGGCTTTTTCGCCGCCTTGGCTGGCTCAAGTGAGTGCTGCAGTTCGCCTCGGACTTTCTGGGCATTCGGCCCTGCCTTTGGACTGAGCCTTTAAGCTCGCTTTGGTGGCCGGCCTCAGTCCTCCCCCCTCCCCTTTCTCTGCCCCTCCTGCTGCCCTCTTCTGGCGCAGACTAGCCTTCTCGCCTCCAAACCCCCTATCTGGGCCACTTCTGCGTTTTTTGTAGTGAGGCTTGCCCGCTCTATGCCTTTACCGAGGTTAGTGTGCCAGCGGGAGTCTTTTGCGTGGCTCTCTGCAGACCAAGGTTGTGTCAAGACCACCCTCTCGCCCAGTGCCTTCGAACATCAGGGTTCCCTGCACCTGTGTCCGATATTTCCTGCGCCTTTGGCCGCTGCTGGTGCAAGGCAAACAGGCTCAAGTAGCTGCGTCACGTTGGCCAGTGCCCCCAGCCTGGCGTTGGCTCGTTCCCCTTCCAGGCTGGGGCAATCTCTCCACCGACGTGCCGGAAGCTGCGCAGTCGCCAACAAGCCCTCACGCGCACCGCCGGCCAACACTTCTCGGCGCCTTTTGTGGTTGCTGAGAAAATCGACCAGCCTTCCCTTGACCCCGCACTGTGCTCCCGGTGCATCTTCGCCAGTCGCTGGATGCGCTGGTTCCTGCCCTCAGTCGCCTCTCCTCTCGTTTTATCGGCGATAGTTGGTCGGATTGGTGACAGCATGCTCTGCCGCCGAATCCTGCTGACCAGCCCGGGGCTTACCGCTGCCAACGCGTTCGGCTGCCACTCCGTAACACATCCTCCTCCCTCGCAGCCTGGCTCCAGTCCGATGAGAGTGTCCACGTATCACAGGCTTCCGCCTCATCGCCCAACCCTTCTTCCTGCCCAGACCCTTCCCCAAAACCCCCCACTTGGACCAATTCCGGTTTTTTTTTCTCCTTGTTTCTTTTTTCTAGTACCCATAGTACCCCCTCTGGAACCTCTGGCGGAGGGGGTCGATGACGCTTGCGGAGACCCCCTGAGATGCTCAGCGGGGAAGAGTGCGGGAGGCCGTGGCCGTATGCCACTGGTCGATTCCTTCCTTCCTTCCTTCCTTCCTTCCTTCCTTCCTTCCTTCCTTCCTGATGTCTTGTCAGTTTTTGCCATGTCAGTATGTGGTACACACAAACGGGGGACCCTGCAAGTATAGGCAGTTTAGGGCGTTGCGATGAACTGCAGGCAGTAGCCGCATCTCCTCCCAGCAGCCTACGCCTGTCGGTTCTCCGGAACCTGGGAGCCCACCCTCTGAACTGGAGGCCATGGCTATGATGCACACACTCCTGTTATCTTCCTGTTACACTTCTTGCTGTTATCTTCCTGTGACACTGCTTCCTGTTATCTTCCTTTTGCTGCAACCGACTCCAGCTGTGGCTGCAGGTGGCGACAGAGCCTGTTAAGAACCTCCCGCCAAGCAGCAGCCGCATGGAACACCATGCAAGGGAAGAGGAGGCCTGAGGAGGCAGAAGCTGCTTCCAGTATGCTCTTGTTTTCCGCATGCCGTCAGGTTCCAAGATCTCAACCCGTGCGGCACCTAGATGTCTTGTTCCAGCGAGCCGTTAGCACCGTTGAGTTGAACCCCCGCGCGCCCGAGCGAGTCTGAGCGAGGTAGAGGAGCCGCTGTTCCTTGACCGAACTCCCGGTGGAGGAGCGGCGCTGGTTCCCGCTTTGGTCTCGGTACTGTGCATTCACAGAATCTCATGGACCATGGATGAACTCTCGAAACTACAGTTAATCCATCCATCCATCCACCCCATCCCATCCGTCCATCCACCCCATCCATCAGCGAAGGGAGCTTCGATTGGGATCCTTTGGCAGCGTCAGCTGAGGCCGGCAAGCCCTCAGAGGTGGTCCCGGCGCAGGCCCCGAAGAAAAAGAACCAAGCAGAGGAGGTAAGAGAGGCGTAGTGTGGGTAGCCTTAGTACTTATACATATATATATATATTTATATCCATATATATATATATATACATATACACATCTTTTCTGCAGCTCATCCTCTGAGAGAGTCGTCTTGGGAGACTGGAAAAAGGGTCTTCAAGATAGGCCAGGATAGGCTCCTTGCAGAGGCGAAGCACGGGGGCAAGGCCAAGGGTCTGCCGAAGCGTGGAGCCGGCCGATGCTTCTCGTTGCTCTTTTTGTTGTTGGAGGATGCTTTGTTGGGGGGAGTGTTTGCGGTTTGCTTTTTGGAGAGTGGTCCCGTTTGAGAGGAGAGTTCCAAATATGGGAGAGAGAAAGAGCTTCGGACAAAGTTCTCTTCGGACGCTTTTTCCCGGCGCTTTCGCAGCCACCCATGCGGCGGTCCGAAGCCACTCGTGCACATGTGCTTTGCCGGCGAACGCTCGCCAGGTTGGCTCTTTGGCCTTTGCTGGAGCAAGCACGCAGCGCCTGGTGAGCCTTCCAAGCAGAGGTGTGGGGCGCTCGAACGAGACTGGCAGCTTGCGGCTTGCCTTCCAGCTGTCTCTATTCCCCAGTGAAAGACCCCAAAGCAGAACCGTAGATTCGTAGATCCCACAAAGAGTGCCTAAAAAGTGCACATGCCTGTGGCTGAGGTCAGCTTCGCCTTGCCAGGGACTTCCATCGGGGAGATCTGATTGGTGCTGGAAGCTACGGTGCCTCCGCACATCGAAGGAAGTGCCATGAAGTGCATGGCGCTCCTGGCAGGTTGTGTCTTCGCAGCGCGGCGGAAGACGACGGGGGAGATCATGGCCGTCAAGGCTGTTTGTCCTTAGCCTCGCCGTGGGGTTATAGCTTCTGACTCGGCCATCCTCCTATCCCTTGAACCATCCCCAGAAAATCTCGCAGGTCCCGAGTATCCCTGGAGTGCCTGCCAGAGAGTCCCGCAGATACCCAGATGATCCTCATAGTGCCCATCAAATCAAATAGCTCACTTTTGCGGTGTGCGGATGCTCGAAGTCAGGAAATTGTAGGATTGAAATGGGGGTTTACGAGAATTGGGGACCAAATAGAAGGATCCTCTTATAGTAAGGACCCCAATAAGGTAACATTAAACCCTAAACCCTAAAACCCAAAACCCTAAACCCTAAACCCTAAACCCTAAACCCTAAACCCTAAACCCACAACTGTGGGTTGGACTTGTTGGTTTGCTGGGAGGAGATGCTCCTCGACCGGGCTGGGATCACCAAGGAGGAGCGCAGCGAGCGGCCCCGGAGCCCAGTGTGTTTGTGGGAGTGGGGTTTAGGGTTTAGGGTTTAGGGTTTAGGGTTTAGGGTTTAGGGTTTAGGGTTTAGGGTTTAGGGTTTAGGGTTTAGGATGCTTGTTAGGGATTTAAAGCTTAAGGCTCAAGCAAACAGTAAACGATCTTGATTTTTGGATTCTATCGGGGCACATGATCAATTCCACAGAGATGGCAGCAGTTGCGCATGGAAGCGAGGCTCGTGAAACTGACCCGCGAACTGCGGCTCTGCGAGCAGCCAGCGCCCCAACATGGAAATGCTCCGTGGCCTCCCAGATGCGCAGGACTCCGTAGGACTCCGTAGGACTCCGTAGGACTCTAAATTGCCCCAAGGCTGGAGCACCCCTTTATTGTCAGCTACTTTGGCCACGAGTTCGTCATGGGAGCTCAGGGTGGTGAGGGGCCTCAGCCAGCCCGACATGAAGCAAACCATGTCGGTATCCTGTGGGTCATGGCACATGTCCCCAACTTCCCCATGACCCGTGAAGTGAGGCCCCGAGAAGCTGCACCTTTTTCTAGAGTACTGCAGCGGCGGAAGCCTGGCTGCGCACTGCTGGCGGGCCTTGAGAACAGCTTGGGGGCTTTGCGTGTTCCGAGAGCATGTGGAATGCGAATGCTTGGGTGTAAGCTTGGTTGTTTACAGCTTGCACAGCTTGCACAGCTTACGCAGCTTAAACCCTGCCTCGGCCTCTTGGCCTTGGCCTTGCCTTTGGCACCCCTGGCATTGCCAGGCAGCTTCGGACTTATGGGCCCGTGAGCGAGGAACTTCTGAGGACTGCAAGATTGCGTATCCCCGACGTGCGCCGTTCACTCGTTCTGCTGAAGAAACTGTGCCATCTGTGCCCTGCCTTTGCCTGAGCTGTGAGGAAGTACACGAGACAGCTTGTCGGCGGCCTTATGTACCTGCACTCCCGGAGCCCGCCGGTGGTCCACTGCGATCTCAAATGCTGCTCGGATCGTTGGCGTTTGAGTTTTTTTTTGGGGCTCTTGGAAGCACAGAAGGCGCAGAAGACTTGGGAAACCGAGGCGCCAACGTGTTGCTAACGCACAGCGGAGACGCCTCGGGCCTTGCAGCGGAGATCCATCATGAGTGAATGTCTTCGCCAGTACTTGGTACCGTAGTTGTAGAGTCTTGCTCGGAATCAAAGACTGAGCTGAAGGACTGATTGAACTGGCAGCGTGTGTGCCTGCGATGCAAGGTCAAGATCGCAGACTTCGGCTGCTCCAGGCCATGACCTCTTCGCACTTGTGAGGTTTTTGATGGAGTGCTATCAGCGTCCCCTCACCAGCATGACGAGTAAGATTCTCACATCCATGGTGAACACTGGCATAGCTTGGTGAAGAGCAGAGTCTTTCCTCATTGTGCATCGGGGGTGCAGCGATCAACAACAACGTTCAAGCCTCATAGCAGGCGCCGCAGAAGCTTGGCAAACTGATGTAAAAGTGAAAACAGCCAGAAAATCCTAGTTTTTGCATTCCACACTGCACTGCACTGCTCTAAGTCATACTTTGGCTCAGGGAGCAGCTTGATTCAGCGTTCTCGAACCAAGCCTTGAAAGGTGGATTCAGCCTGGTGAGGCCATGCTGGAGGCTCCTTTTGCTGCTGAAGAGTGTTGACGCATGCGCCTGCGTTGCTCTTTGCTCTTTCTGACACGCGTGCAGAACTCGGTCGCGGGCTCCGTCTTCTGGATGGTCAGAGCCTCGGGCCACGACCGTGGGATAATGGGGCCCACGGCAGTGGGATGATGGAGGCCTGCTCTCTTGAGGTGTTCGTAGGTTGAGAGTTGTTTTGGTCTTTTGTGCTGTTCCGATCTGATTGAAGGCCTCATGATTGATGATCATCAGTCTTAGTCCTGGCCATGCCCAGCCCTGAATACTGACAGCTGAAAAACGGCTAGTCATCGTTGCAACCTTTTCCCCTAGGTCCTAGAAGCTCCCTTACCCCTACATCAGAAGGCGTTTGGGGACATAAAAGCATGAAAAACGACCCAGCACCTTCCCAAAGCGGCTCGGCCATCCCTGCTCGTCCGGCCGCACCAGTCCATGTCCCTCACCCACGAGCATGGAATGTACCCAGCAGTCTTTCAAGCTGCTGGCACGCTCACTTGAAATACTTGGCAGCAGCCCGACAAGTCTTCTTTGCATTCTGCATCACCCTGAGGCGCCCGAGCTCTTCCGAGGGCGTGGCAAGTTGACGACAACTTCAGATGTTCCTCGCCCTGACTTCCACCTGCTTCTCTTACCGGTTGCTGCAGTATGATGGGTATCCCCTCCCCCCCCCCCCCCCCACATATATGTGGCAGGAAGAACCGGAAAGTTGTCTGTGTTTTGTGAAGTCAGACGGGAAGCATGGCACCAAGGTTTGGTCCCTGGGCTGCTGTGTCCTGGAAATGGCCACTGGTAGCCCTCCTTGGGTCGAGCGACGTTTCGACAACATACTGCAGGCCGTGGATTGATCCTTTCCTTAAGCCGCAGGTGGCACTGCATGGCGCTGCGATACCTCATGTCACCTCACAAATGCCGGCACGTTGGGACCAGGCTTGCCATGTCATTGCAAACACGGAAGAGCTGCCAGCCATCCCGACGGAGCTGTCCAAACAGGCCGGTGCCGCAGGTGCAACAGGCGACAGGCCGCTGTTTTCAAGGAACAGTGCACTCGGAGTTTGAAGGCCTCGATGCTGATCTGCACCTGCTTGAAGCGAAATCCGCAAGAGCGGCCAGGGCCCGAGATGCACCAACCCTATGACAACGGAAAAAGGGCGGCCCCGAAGTGAACCGTTCGTAGCAGATAAGGTACATGTTGGCATACTCCTGTTTGGCTAGCCGTGCACAGCCAGGATCGATGATGTTTTGTGCACAGCCAGGATTGATGTTTTGCCTTGTAAAGCGGTAAGGATCAAAAACTAACGATAAGGCTCATACTCCTCGCAATCGTTTGCTTGAATGCTTTGGAGATCCTGAGGCCAACTGCGCAGGAACTGAACAAGAGCAAGATGCTGCGTGTCTGACCTTAGGCTAGTACAAGCTTAAGGGGGAAGTATCAAGGACCTTACCAACAGTGGCCTGCGGCTCGTGGGTCTGGTGGAATCTGTATCTTTACTGTTCTCTACTGGGCTGTGGATTGTCTGCGTCGGCGCGCTCGATCAAAGCAGCTTGCACGATGCCACGATGCCGCTGTCAGTCAATAGACGCACGGCGGAAGCTTTATGGCAGCTTAATTCATCCAGACTGCACACAGCCACCTGGTCATACCTGGTCCACACTGCTACAGCAGCTTGGAAGAAACTGAACTTTCAATTTGTGTTTGCTGCGCAGGTCTGTGAGCTTTGCAGTTCGCATGTGCCAGGTGCAAGATGCGTCCACACATCATCTGGTTGCAATTTGCCGTTTCACACTGTATCTTCGGAGATAATGCTGTGGAGAAGTGCTGTGAAGTCAGCACGTTGAAAGCTAATACAACGGGCTGCACTTCTCCCATCAAGACTCGACGTTGACACAACGTTGCCACGGGCCTGGTGGTTCCAAGGCATTGATGCCTGCAACAGAATCATAGAGCATGGCAAGCGATGCAGGAACATCCAGATCCAGTCCTGGACTATCGCGTAGCGCAGACAGGCTGTCCCCTCCCCCCCCAGCCCCGGCAGAGCGAACGTAGTCGAAGTGCGGCGTTGACCCTAGCCACAAACACTGAACCTTTACAGCATGCAAAGCGCAACCTAAACAAGATAAGCTAGCTCGAAACTCGAGAAGCAATGCCCCCAATAGCAGTACAGAAGCCCCTTACAAGCCCTGATGCAATCCTGATGCACCTGACAGAGCGTTCGCAGCGTTCGCTGTCTTAGAAGCTTGCGGTGGGAGTTAACCCCGAAAGCAGCGGAGCATTGACAGTGCTTCTGAACGCATTGGACGACTTGCAAAGCCCGCCGCATCTTCGAAAAACTTGGCCGGCAGCTCTTCGTAAGACTCAAGACCCTTCATGAAACCTACATCTTGGTGCTTGCCAGTAGTCCCAATGTATAGTATGACTTCATGCCCGCATTGAGATGAGTTCTCCTTGAGCATACTTTCTGGGAAGTCTTTCTTGTGCACAGATGTTTTCTGCGATTCCGCAGCGAGTCTGGTTTCAAGCAGCCTCATGACGTGCTGAGCAGAAGGCATCAGGACAAGAGATCCGATGAGAGACTCATGTGGGCGCAGCTGGTGATGTAGGTGGGAATGTTCGGAGAAGGGCAAGAGGTTGGGTGTAACGGTTTCTGCATCTTGCGTGTCACCGTTGAGCATCTGGCAGCACTCAAGAGGCCCCCGACACAGTTGTGCATCACCTGCAAGCTAGCTCTGCAAATGTGCCCATGCCCGCGAGGTTGATGAACGCGCAGAATCAGAAGCGAAACCTTGCGACAAGACGTGCTGAAAAGAAGGCTGTCCGTGGTGTTGCTCACGTGTGGACATGACTCGCAGATCGTAGCAGGGTGCTGCAGAGCAACTGGAAAGCGCATTGTGGCAGAACCCAAGAAGTCCGTGCCTTCCAGCTTGCATCATGTGCAAAGAACGTGCCGAGCCTAACTCAGCACCCCGAAGCATCTGACAAGTCGTGATTTGCGCCCCGTGATGACGCACGGCAAGACGGTCATTCAACCTTGCAGAGATAGCTCTAACGGAACAAGACCCTCGCAGAATGTAACACGTAAGATTTGGGTTGGGAACCCCGGGCGCTAGCCATGTGTTGGCAGCATGAGGCCGGGCCTAAGTTGCGACAGGTGGTGCTACTTCTGACGATTCTCCTTGGCATCATTGGTCTCATTGTTCTCGTTGTTATCATAGTCAGTACTTGTTCTTGCTTTTTCGATTGTTCTTATTGCCATTATTGTTCTTGCTGCTCTTACTGTCTTTTTTTTACTATTTCTCCTTCTTCTTATTCTGATTTTTATTTCGGCAATTTTCGTTTTTGATACTGTTGGTCTTCTTGTTATTATTGCTGTTGTCGTTCTTCTTGTTTGTTTATAGTTTTCGTTTATTGTTTGTCCTGCTATTTATGAAGGATTGATATGGCTCGTCTTGTTCTTGCTCTTACTTTTCTAGTTATTGTTCTTATCAGTGTTCTTCTTATCATTTTTTTGCTTTCTGTTTCTGTCGAGGAGTGCCGGAGCCTTGGAAACGGCTCCAGATGGACACATCGTTCCGGCCTCCTTCCTGCAGGTCGGTCAGTGTTGTTGTTACATGAAAACTTTCCTCGAAGCATTGCGCGTAAGGCTGCAGCTTGGACACGTGACCATGTCGTCAATCTCAAAGTGTGGCCATGCCGGACCATGGCGCATCAATCGTACCTGAACTCTTCGGTATGTTTGCCGCTTCGGCTTTCTTGTATGGTCTTGTCTCGAACCTGCGCCACATGCTTCTCCGATCTCGAGCTGGAACCTGCGCGCTGGCGAACTCCGAACGGTCCCACGCAGCGGTTGTATTCGGCGCCCGTGCGCAAAAGGGGGAAGCGCCCAGTTTGCACGTCTTGGAGCATTTTGGAAGCGCTTCGCGAAGAGTTCACGCAGCGAACGTACTCATCCGAGTTCCCAACATGGCGGCTCCGCTGCTGTCTCAGCACACTTGACGCAACCGTGCTCCTGTCTCCCTCCCGACGAGGATGCCAGCACATCGAATCGTTGACTTCGCTCGACCGGCCGGTTGATGCCCTCACCCCCAAAGCGGTTCATTCGCTCCGCACGAACGGCGGGGCCGGGCCTGTCGGGCATGTGTGCCAAGCACGGGACACTGCAGCTCATTCCGGCGCAGGATTGAGAAAAGTCCTAAACCGCCTAAGCCTTGAACCTACAACCCCAAACCCGAAGCCCGAAGCCCTAAACTATAAGCGCTAGAAACCTGAAGCCAACGGGGCCCAGAAACCCCCGCGGCGCAACCATATGTAGCGACGAATGTGCGGACTGGTGCGGTCATCGATCGCTCTGGACCGCCAAGCCGGATTGGTCAGGGTGGCGCATGTCGCCTGGTCCTGGGGCTCGTGCCATCAATGCCCCATACCTCGCCGATGCGGAGGCGCCGGGAGCACGTCGCTAGATGAGATGGCCGTTGTATCTTGTTTCCCTTCACCGCAACTTTGCCGTTCCCCCAGCCCCACCAGCGCACAGTAGGCTCGCGAGCAATGCAGCGTGGGAACAATTGCCCCAACGAGCCGATTTTCATGATATGCGGCGTTTCTTGTTCACGTGGGCTGCCCGGAGCCGGAGCGCCTTTCAACTGCCAAATGGCCACCAGAGGGCAGCATTGAGTCCACATAACCAGCCCAATAGGTAGAATCTGAAAGCATCCACGGTCCGCAGCGGGCCGCTCGGAAAGTGTTGACGATGATATGCTCTTGACCACGCAGCAAGCCATGGTGTTTATGGCTGATGGAATTGGCGATCAAGGGCCAGCAGACTTCGAAAACAGCTCCGAACATGAGGGAGATTGAACGAGATTGTCCTGACTGTAAGTTGTCAAAGACGACCCAATGCCAACACACAGAGTAAATGTCCGCCTGGACAATTCGTAGTGGTGTGGGGGGCAGGCGAGGTCAAGCTGCTGTGAGAACTGCTGAACGAGGGTGCGGGCAACAAGTCTTCGGAACAGATCGCCCACAACCAGTCTGCGGGACCCCCAGAAGGTTTGCAAATAGCCACCATCCGTCCTAAAAAGATTCCAGCGACAGTTGACGGCGGGTCTGTCACCGACTCTCTCAGCGCGCACACCTCGCTCGCTTCCCCCACGCGCAAACGACTGGCCACAAGATGCTCTGAAAGCACATGATGCGTCGCCCGCGCTTGGCGGAGGGGTCGCACCAACAGCCGCCGACTGATGCTGCTCCTAGGCCCACCTGCGGTCGGCGCGCTCGAACGGTTTATTGACGACGCTGCCCCACCCCTGTGACCGCAGCTATCCGCAGCTGGCCCCAACGCTGTTGGCGCTGCCCGGCCCGGCAGTGCTCACCCACTCATTCGGACACGGGTAACAGTCTACGGAGCCGCCCGCAGCTTCTCCAATCGGCTCGCCCTCGCGCAGGCCAGGCTGTGGGCGCCGACGCCTCTCATGACGCTGCCCCGCGTGGCAATCCAGCGCCCGCGATCCCTGAAGTGTGATGGGTCGACCGTGCAATTGGTTTTCCTCCACAAGGCGGCAGTAGATGTCACGCACATTGTCTCCGAACGCAACTATGCGAGTTTTGAACCGGTGCTGGGATTGATCGAAATCATAGAGCTTGATCCCCCAGATAAGACTTGCCTGCACGTACTCCACGTCAGGCCCGTACTTGCCCACAGCATTTTCCCAGCGTTTGTATCCCACTCGGGATCCTTGCGTTTGACTCTTTTGGTGACACGAGCGAACATCTTCCCCAGCTCAGTCACGAACAACTGTGCTGAGAGGAGATGGCCGCATTGTCAAGAACATTGTTCGGCTGCTGCGACCTCTCGGAATCACAACGTTCTAACCAGAGGTGCTGCATGTCGCATGATATAGACGAAAATAGACGACGATGATGCTGATGATGACGATGATGATGATCATGATATGATTCCACCCCCTGACGATTTTCTCTCGACGCAACCCTCACCTTGTCGGATGTCTCGGCAGTGTCCCTCCGAGTCCCACCAGCAGTATCTGGAGGGGCTTCCGTAGAACAACCTGACGAAGGGTCCGGCGCGACTTCCCGCAATTTCGACAGAAAATCCGGGCGAGACATATTGTCATACGCACTGCGTCCGTCAAAAGGAAATGACCGCCGCATCACGTCGCGTCGCAAGGGCGGCGCGCACATGTGCAGCGAGGGCATCGGTACCAGCTCGCGCTTGCAGGGCGAATTGATGTGGGCGCGTGGCGTGGTCGAATATGTCGGCCCAGCCCTTGGCCAGCGTCCTGGAAACCAGCCGTCGAAAAACATGTCCCGTTGCTATCCCACAGACGCCCCCATCCGGTTTGCGAAGTGCCGTCAAGCGCGCCAAGGCGAGGGCCGCAAAGATGTCTGACTGGACAGCTCCCTGCGCAAGGTGACCCGCTAGCCCCCGCCCTTTAGGGGCGCCCTGGACAGCATTGTCATGGCCGTCGCGACCCACTGCGGCATAGCGCCCAACCTCGGAAAAACTCGAGTGATAGCCGCATCGCCCGGACCCGACCCGCCTGGCATAGCGGAGTTGGGCGACGACGTTTGGCGTGGCGATAAACCCCCGGCACAGCAAGGCGTTGTCATCCTCGGTTCTCTCATTGGCCACCCGGAGTTCGTGCACGCCTGGGCCGATGAGCGTATACGCGCGGAAGGGGCGCTGCTGGACCATTTGCCGCAACTGCCAGACTTGCAATGCGCTTGCTTGCAGGCGTGCCTTGGGAGAATCGACGATGAGGATGCAGGCCAAGCGCGCCCCATACCGTTGATGGAGGAAATCCTGCACCGCTTATTACACATGAGCATGACCCCGCACCCCTTTTTAATGTTGACGATGCTACCCGCCGCGCCGGACGGCCAGCGCATTTGGTTCGGAATCCCGGCAAGGCATCCGCGTGGCTGAGTACATCGAGGCGCAATTTGTCCAGCTCGCTGCGAAGCAAGTCCCTCTTTTGCAGGACCTTCGGGCTTCGTGGTTGTTGGTGTTCCTCTGCGCTTCGCCCCGTGCTCAGGACTTGCTCCGGGTTCTGCCGCCCGCTGCCACAGTTGCCGTCGCGGCCGACCACGACGCACCGACCCAGCGGTACCTTTCCAAGCTTCTGCGGCTCAGGACCCTGCGGCTGACTTCGTCCGCGGATAGCACACGGCGCGCCGCCCAAGCAGTGCAGTCGCAAGCCGGGCCGGTCACATCCGGGGTCTTCACGGCCATGCCCACAGCCCTGGAGGTCGTGCTGGACGCCGCCTCGTTCCGGGATGTTCCGGGTGCCGGCTGCGCTTCTTCCGCTCGACGTCGCCCGCTGCAGACCTACTGCGCAGCCGCGGGTGTCCGCTTGAGCGCGAGGCCGGGGCTCGCGTGGTCACCCACGCGCTGCTCCGGGTCCTCAACCTCACCAATGGTGGTTCCCGGACCGTTTTGAGGAACAGTCTGCCGCTTTGGAACGGGGCACAGCTCGCAGTCGATATAACGCTCGTATCTGCCGTGGACTCGAGCGGCCGACCGCGGCACCATCAGCGCCGCGAGGACGGCTCGCGGAGCTGGCGGACGGCCCAGCCAACGTGGACTAACGCGCTGCCCGGCAGCCTGGCGTGCGTGAGGCGGTCGACAAGGCTTTACCGGAGTCGGAATGATTGGGTTTTTCTTAATGATTGGGTTCCATAAGGTGTAACCCCACTCCCCATGATGCCGGGCCTTCAATGCGCAAGTTTGGTAAGCCGACGTCATCAAAAGCATGTGCATCAATCATGCTTTGTCACGCTAAACATATTCATCTCGTGAAGGGCACGAAAACCGTGTGTAATGGGTCAGTTGCGGAGCGGCACCCACGGCGGGAACCTGCAACACGCTCCTCCGAACGATCTGGACGGCATGTCCCACTACAGGATCTGCATTTGGCACCGGCGCCTCGCCAGCACCACAACTTACATCATGCTGCCCCGAAGAATTACGGATGGCAGGTTGTTCTGCGGTGGGCCACGCGCAGGGACCACATGCAACACCTCAGGACAACGGATGTACTCGGTCAAACGCACCACTTTATTGTTGCAGAAATAGCATCTTCGCTGAGCTCCGGGACGTTAAGCAACTTTCGTCCTCAGGAACGCCGCATGCACCTGGTAGTGGCTCAGACGAAGTGCATGTGGAGACCTGGGCCCGGAACGCTGCTGGGACCGCCCGAGCTTTAGCCCAACATCGGGCGAGCAAGCGCACGTAGCGTGCAGCTTCGGGGCTCCAGCGGCCTCCGACCTGAATGGCGAGGACGACGAGCCGACAGCGAGCTGACCGGGCGAGCTCGGGGCAGGCGCGCTGTTTGGAGCCCGTGCAAGAGGCTCTTTTGGAGTGCTACGGCGGCATTCGTTTGGCGTCAGCGCTGGACCGTCACGCCGACCGTTTGCGCCCGGTACCTGTGCCGACCGCGGATGCTGCGGAGCCCGACGCCCCCGAGCGCACCCGCCGCCGCAGCGGCCAAGGCCACGGGTCGCGCGTCGTTGGGCGCGGGACTGCGGGCAGCGAGTCGCAGGGTGAGCCCTCCGAGGACCCCGAGCCGCCAGACCCACCTGCGGGACCCGCGGATGACATTGACGCGGAAGGGGAAATGCCCGCGCCAGCCTCCGGGCCTCCGCCTCGCGCTGCGGCACGCATTGCACTAGCGTGCCTGGACGAGGTTGACCCCTGTGCCGAGTTCCATGTGCCGGTCCCCACCGTGCACTGCGTCCCGCGTTTTCTGGTCGCGGGAGTCCGTCGGGCCTTCACCTGCACTTTGCGCGCCGTGCAAGAAGCATCTCACAGAGGCAACGCAACAACGCAGGACCGCGCGTGGACGTTGTTCCTGCTCCTTCCCTGCCCCCTGTTACGCCGCAGCGGCTCTGAAGGCCGCAGTGAACTCCTGCAGCGCCTCGAGCTCTTCGAAGCAGGGAACGTAGAGCGGCTGCTCCGCGAAGCGCGCTCCCAACCTCTTCCGACGGCCAATTGTCGCGCGCTCGGCAAATGCTTACAGCTGGGGTGCTGGCGCCAGGCGACGACACTACGCTTGCGGCCCTGCGCGACCCTGCCAAGGCGTCCGCCCGTACCCTGCCAGGAAATCGCGGCGGAGTCGCTGCAGGTCGACCCGGCACACCGCGTGGCTTTGACGGTGCAGCAAGTGGCCGAGGCATTGCGAAGCACAAAACACGGAGCGGCCCCTGGGTTGTCAGGCGCCACCGAGCATTACAAGCTGCTGCTCGACGAACCTTCCGCGCTGGAGGCGTTTACAGCCGTCGTCAACCGCCTGGCGCGGGCCTGCCGCCGTCGCAGACGCGCTTGCCCTCTCGCGCCTCACGGCGCTTCGCAAGCCCAATGGGCATCGCGACCGGCGACGTTCTCAGGCGTCTCGTGTCCAGGGTGCTGGCTCGCACGTTTGCTGACGTGTTCGACCGCTCCACACGCCCCTACCATCCCCTACCAGTCCGCTACGGATGCCTTGGCCGCTGTCCTGCGAGATGGACCCTCCATGCCGATGGCCAGGTCCACGAGGCCGAGGGCGTGGAGCAGCGCCGTGGTGCGCGGACAGATACGTGCAACTATACCTGAGTCCGAGGTCGGGGACAACGCGCACTGTCTTGCAGAGGCAGCGCATGCGCGTCGCACCTTACAGGACCAAGGCTGGAGCAACTGCCCCACGTGGAGCATGCTCCTCGACGGCGCTCGCCCCGCCCCACCTGAGGCGCCAGGTGCCGGAGACTGGCCGCATGGCTGGCAGTACCACACATCGCGGACCTTTACCGAACACTCTCGCGATCGCGTGCTTTTTTTTTTCCACGCACCTTTTCCTCGCGTCAGTGTTCACGATCCCTGTGCACGGAATCGGCAGGCTGCTCGGGCCGCAGTGTGTCAAGCACGCAAGGGCAACCTGGACGGCTGCTCAGCCTCGGCGAGCTCCAGGACCCAACCAAGCGGCGTGCCCTCGTCTCCGGTTGGCTGCGCCGGCGCGCGCCAGCGACCGCCCAACAGCGTCGAGGCCAAGGCGCGCTGCAACGCGCAACCCAGCTGCCCCCACCACCGGCGTTCCCACCCGGAGCGGGCAGCAGCTCGCAGCGCCCTCGGCGCGCGCAGGGAGCGCTGTTGCGCGAGGTCGCGGACGAGGTCGTGCGCCTTTTGCCCCCCATCGTCCGCCGACCTCCGCAGCCAGGACGACGAGGCGTTGCGGGCCCGGACCGGCGAGTTCGGGGTAGCGCCGTTGTTTGCGCCGCCTCGCGACGTCGATGGCAGCCCCATCCCGATCTGAGGAGCCGGTCTGCGGGTGTCCGTCTGCGCGCAGCGGCGAAGCCAGGGTCACATCGCAGCAGAGTGCCTCGCCGCGCCGAGACGCGCCATAAATGACGATGTCAAGTCGGCGCCGGTCATCTGGGGCTACGCCCGCTGCGGTGGTCCGCGCTAGCCATTGTTGGGGGACCACCCGCCCTTCGGCGGCGACGGCCTCCCGCGCTACTCGGACCCACGCTCGCTCGAGTATGGGAGCGCGCCGGGCCAGCAGCCCACTCCGGGCGCAGGCGGCGCGATGGTCGCCCAGCTGGTCCACCACGGCTCGGCACCCTGGCTCGCCACGTCCTCCGCAACGGGAAGATGCCATGGGTAGCGGCAAGCGAAGGCGTCGCCGGAGAGCGACTTGCATGTCCAGCGGCAGAAGCTGCGTGCCCTCGTCCATCCTCGTCCGTGGGGATGGCTCGCAACCACTCGCCGGCATGCGCGCCCGCCTGGGAGCGCAGCAGTGCTCGGGAACTTGGCGGCAAGCTGCAGAGGAGGCGCTCGCGGTAGGATTTGTTGAGTACGCAAGCTGCCGGTTTCTGCCAGCCATGTGGCCAACTTCCAGGCTCTGAAGGCTCAGCGTGTGTAGGCGGCGGCCGCGCCCCGTGGAGCAAGGCATCCCACTCCGGGCGCGCTCTCCCTTCGGCGAGCAGCCGGTCACCCGCTTCCGCAGCTGCCCGCAGGCACGGCGCAGTCGACCCGCCGCCAAGAGCGAGTTCTTGCGCATATCGGCGGGCAACCTCCGGGCGTCTTTGCAGCATCACCGGGAGCGCGTCCGCCCAAGCCGCCCAGTAGATCCCAGTAGGCCGCTGGGGCTAGTCGCTCCGCGCTCGCGAGACCGAGGCCACCACATGCGGCAGGGAGGAAGGCGATTTGGCGCGCTGCGGTCCACTCCCGCCCGCTCGCATCCTGCTCCGCTAGAAGGTGGTGGAGCGTTGCCCAAATCGCCCGATCGTGTTCTGCCGCATAGGTGGCCGAGTCCAGCGGCGGCACCGTGCGCAGAGCATGTTGGGCACGCGGGCTGGCACAGTAGAGCAGGAGCAGCCATGCGCTCTGCATATCAGGCAATTCCGGCAGTTCGTGCAGCAAGCGGCGCTCTTCCTCAAGCCTTGCCGCGAGAGTGCGTCGCACGAACTCCGTATGCCCGATCGGCACGCCCAATGCAACAAAGCCGCAAGTTGCCGGTTCACTGTCACCTCCGCACCAGACTTCGGGTCCGAGCACTGCGATATCGGGCGGGGGCGGCCCGCCACTTGCGCGATAGACCCGAGTCTTCCCGAGATTAGCTGCGACACCAGCCTGCCGCTCGACCGTGCGCGTGACATCATCTAGCGCTGACCGGGCGCGAGCTGGAGTGGTGACGAGGTACAAGTCGTCCAGAAAAGCGGCAAGGAACTCCCCCGGCTGCAATCGCCCTTGCGCCGCAGCTAGGGCATCGTGTTGCGCCAGGGAGTACAGAGCCGGCGCTAACGCATCTCCCTGCTCGCAGCCGTCACCTTGCGAGATCTCGTGGCGCCGGCCCTCGGCGTCCCACCACAGGTACGTGGAGGTGCCGCCGTACCACGCCCGCACATATGGGACGAGGGCTGGAGCGACCTCGCGCAGCTTCTTCAGGAAGGCGGCACGTGAGACCGTGTCATAGGCGCTCCTTCCGTCGAGCGAGACGATGGTGGCGTCGGCATCCAACTCGCTCGCCGCGCGCAGCATCGCTGCCAAGCAATCCGTCCCGGCACGGGCCTGAAGCGCGAACTGGAAGGGCCGCGTGGCGCGGTCGAACGTGTCAGCATACTGTCGCGACAACGCTCGTGACACCAGTCGGCGTAGCGTGTCTCCAGTCGCGATCCCGCGCACGCCGCCGCCGGGCTTGGAAAGGGCGGTGAGCCGGGACAACGCGAGGGCTTGCAGCACGGCGGCGGGCGCATCAGCATTCGCCAAAAGGGATGCCGCGTGCGCTAGCAAGTCCATCGCCTCCTCGTCCTCCAGCAGCAAGCGATAGTGTTCCACCGCCGCGCCGGACAGGCCAGCAGCGCTGCCACGCTTAGCCGTGCGCAAAGCTTCTCCCAACTCAGCTGCAGTGAGGTGGACGCGGTCTGCTGCACGGAAGCTGGCTATGTCGTCCGGCATCGGCTGGCGCGGACGGGGCGGTCGCTTGTCGGGGTCCGAAAGGAGGCGTAACGTAGCCGCATTGCCCGGCGCCAAAGGAGCGCTGGTGAGCGTCTGGCGCGCGCGCGACAACTGACCGCGGCGTACCTGCGCGCAAGCGCGCTCGCGCATCCGCTCCGCATCAGTGCCTGCGGATCGCTGCAGGCGCTGCTCCGGAGACGGCTTTTGCCCTCCTTGCCGCCCTGTTCGCGCGCACTTCTTCGCTCTCAGGCGGGACCGCATGCCGGTGCATGGCTCACCGCCATACCGTGCGACGAAGCAAGCCGCATCCCGCCACAAGCGATGCAAATTGCCTTGCGGCGTCGCCTACGGCTGCCTCTACCTATTGGGATGTGGTGGCGTCGTCGACCCTTATGGCGACCATGCCCTCGCTTGCCCGAGGACAGGCTTGTTGGCCAGACGCGCTAAAGTCGTCGAGCGCGCGTGGGTCCGCGTGGCGCGAGAGGCCGTCGGCGCCGAAGGTCAGGTCGTGCCACAGCAGTGGCTCGCCCATACGACTGCAGCAGGCGTCCCTGCCGACGACCGCCGCCGCCTTGATCTCGTCGTCTACCACCGCCAACGGAGGAGCGCTGTGCTGCGACGCAACACTCGTGTCTCCTCTAACCAGAACGCATCATCCACATCCATGCGCCGTGGAGGTGGACGGTGCCGTGCTGCAGGTCGCGGAGCGACGCAAGCGCCGCACGTACCCCGAACTCGCGAGGGGCGGCCCGCAGAAGCTGGTGGTCCTGGGCTCCGAGATAGGAGGCCGCTGGAGCACTGCTGCGCAGCACTTTGTTCGCGACCTCGTCCGGCTCCGCGCTCTACGTGCGCCGCCTGCCGTGCGTGCTGCGGTGTCCTCCCAGCCGGGCAAGACGCTGGTGGGGCGCCCTTTCCGTTGCGGTCCAGCTCGCCGTGGCGAGCACAGCCTTGGGCCGAGCGTGGCCGGCTGCGCCACTGCCTGGGCCGAGCGACGGCCCTGCACTGAACCGCGTGCTCGACCTCGCCACCAATGAAGGGCCTAGCCGCTTGCCCCTGTGGCCCTAAACCGGGACCGCCCGCTGTGGTAGTAGCTCGACCAACGTAGCTCTGGCACCGTGTTGCAGTCGGAAAAGGGCGAAAAAAAAAAAAAAAAACCCTCTGTCCGATGCGTGCTGGATGCGTGGCAAGTCGCGCGAGACATAGCATTCTTGCCAGGGTCGCTCGGCGGCCTCGGCTTGGCGCCTGCGGAGCACCTTTCGCCAGCTGCCTACTGGGCAGCGTGGGCAGACACGCTGCCCCCAGTTGCAAGCAGGAGCCGCGGCGGATGCGCCCAGCATAGGCACGGCTGGAGAGGCGGCGGCGCGCTTGCGGGCGGCCGGCGTGCCCGTCCTGGGAAGACTGCTTGCAGCGGCAGCGCCTTCTGCAGCAGCGGAACCCGGCGTGTGGGGATGCAGCTCTCGCACTTCACACTTCTTTCCGAGAGCGCGTTCTGCTGCCGGTGGTTGGCCCGAGCAGATGGGCCATGCTGCGTCCGGTCCGCACGCGAGCGCCTGGCTTGTGGCCCTGCATGCCCGTGAGGCCCGCCACCACGCTGGCGCCCGACCTCATTCATGCACCTAGCCCTACGGCGCAGGCTTCGCCTCACTCTCCCCATCACGCGTGCCTCCTGCGGTGGAGAAGGAATGCACGAATGCCGAGCCCGAGCAGACGAGCTGGGCGAGCACTTCACGCCCTGCCCTGCTTGCTCGCGGAGGCTTCGTGCTCGAGCGGGCGTGGGTCCAGGTAGCGCGGGAGGCCGTCGGCCCCAAGGGACGCGTCGTCCCCCAATGGTGGCTTGCCAACACCACGGCGCCGGGGGTAGCAGCGGACGACCGCCGAAGGCTTGACCTTGTCATCTACGGGGCGTCCCCAAGGGGCGAGGCTTTGTGCTGCGACGCCACCTTGGTTTCGCCCCTGCAGCGAGACGGCAGCCGATTAGCGGGGCGCCGGAGCGATGGCGTCGCCCTGGCGGCAGCACGGCGGCGCAAACTAGTATACCGCGAGCTCAACCGCGGAGGGGCCCAGCGCTTGTGCGTCCTCGCGACTGACGTCGGAGGGATATGTGGAGCGCGGATTGCGAGTCCCTCCTGCGCCGGTTCGTCCGGCTGGTGCGCCACCCGCAGTCCGCGGAGCCGCCGCGCAAGGCTGCGCGAGCTTGTGGTGGGGCCTCCTTGCAGTGGCCGTGCAGCGCGCCGTCTGCAGCGCCGTTCTGGGAAGGTGGACGATGCCTGCCCTGAGGTCCCCGTCCCCTTGACGGACGTCCTGGCGCAGGCCCGAGGCCCTGCCCAGTAGGTTGGGGTTGTGGATGGTTGCGGTGAGCGGGCCTTTCACTCCCACCCTCCCCCGGCCCCACGACAGCATTGACGTAGCGGGCGGAAAAAGGAGCGAGCAAAAAACAAACTTGTCGGCCATGTGATTCAAATGAAAATTTACCTCCGTGGTAAGGAATAGGCTATGAGTCTTTGGATGAGTGGTGTCGGTGCAGGGTTATTGTGTTCCGGTCGCTTATTCACTTAGCAATCTTAGCATTCTAGTCAAGTCAAGTCAGGCCTGAAAGCCCTTAGGCAGCCCATTTAGGGCTCAGGCAAATCCAGCATTAACTATACAGAAAAGCGGCGCTCACACGTGCTCCATGAAAGACAGAAAATCCGAAAGCAGTGTTGACCATCTCGCCTCGTCTTGGGCTTCAAATTGCCAGTTCTCACATCGTTTCCATCGACAGAAGTTTTGAAGCATGGAATCCCACTGGTACCTGGGTCGCCCCTTGCGACGAGACCAATTCGGAACCCAGTTCAGAGCACGTCTGACCCACCGATCAGCAGGTAGGGAAACCACATATTGCGCAAATCGCCAATAAGAGCGCAAGCATCGGTCGGACCATGTCGAAATGTTGCATGCTTGTATCTGCTCTGATACACGGCGGTTCCAGCCATGCAAGATCACATGCCATTCTGCCGACCAGTCTGTGCCACTTGGTGCGCCAACGACAGTACGCAACATCCGCCGCTGAGCAACGTCGAGTTTGCGCAAGTCCGATTTATACGCAGGCCGGTGCGCAGCCGCGAAACAAGCAACTGGGGAAATGACAGCCTCAAAATAGCGCAAGCGATCACGCAAGGAAACTTTCTGATCACATAGAAGCCATCGATTGGCAAAAAATGCTTTGAATGCAGCTTGCACATGATGGTCAGTATCAACTGCATGGTTGCCCTCCGACTTGGTGCAAAGTAAACATCCCAACCACTTATGCGAATCTTCTCTGTTTAATACATCCACGACCAAACCATTTGGCGTTGACAATGTCGATGGTGGTTGTGCTTCTGTGGTTAAAGCCTTGGTTTTTGTTGGGTTCAAAAGAAGACCCACGGCGGCGAGAGCCTGGACAATTGCATCCAAGATCCGTGCAGCTTCGTCACGTGTCATCGCGAACAATAAAATATCGTCAGCAAAGCGCAAGTCAAGCAATTTTGCAAGCCCGTCCTGAAAATCAATTCCCAAGTGTCCAACATCATTCCGCCATGCAACCAGTGCAACTTGCAAAACGCAACAAAATAATCGGGGGCTAAGGACACAGCCTTGTCGCACTCCTGCGTTTATGTCAAATTCTTTGCTTGATTCTGTTTCGCCAATCACTGTACCCGTTTGGTGTTGGTACAAACATTGTAACAACCAAATAATATGATTTGAAACACCGTGTCGACGAAGAGCATCCCACAATGCAGCCCAATCTACCCGGTCGAACGCTTTGGATAGGTCCAGAGAAATCACCCAAACAGGCTTACCGCATTGCAACGTCTTATCGAGAACAACATTCGTTGTCAGCAGGTGTTCTTCAATACGTCGGTGGGCGCGAAAACCATGCTGCTCCTCAGGCTGCGATGCTTCCAACGTATCTTCAATGCGACCAAGGAGGAGGTATGCAAAAACTTTATACAACACACGAACTGAAGCAATTGGTCTGAAATCGGCTGTTGACTTCGCATTTGTGTGTTTAGGCAACATCTGAAATAAGGTCCGTCGCCATTGCGCAGGTGCATCACCCGTGACGAGGATATGATTGCAAACATGAAGCAGTGCATGTAAAAAGTCTTCGGGAACATATCTCAAGAGCTCGGCAGCAAGTCCAACCTCGTCAGTCGCCCTTCCTAGTTTCATGCGGTGGATAGCCTGGTGAAGCTCTTGCACGTCGAAGGGTGGTTCTGATAGACTAGGCGCTTCATCAGGCGCAGTGGGCGTACCATGAAAAAGCTCCTCCAACATTTTTGCAAACTCATCTGGATGTGGTTGTTGGGCATGCTTCCGGCCAAGTGTCTCATTCAAACCTCGCATGTATCTCCACTTGGAATTGTCGCATAAATGCTGTGATATGGCTGAGGATTTCCACAGTCTCATCTCACGGCGCTGAGTTCTTCGAATTTGAAAGGACAACTGTTTGCGTGAGTCTGGATTGTGCGAATTTCTCCTCTGGATACGCAAATGTTTTAAGTAAGAAGACGGCTGGAAGGAGCTTCGTCGTTTTCCGCTCGTGCCCCCCTTCTTTCCTGCTGTCACGAAACATTCTTCCAATGTGGACACGCAAACTTCTTGACACCCCGCCAAAGCTGTAGACAACGTGGCCTGGAACACGGAACACTTCCCATGTTGATCGCGGTGAGGCTTCCAAAATTTCAGTCCCTGTCGCTTACGGATGCACGGTCGCCTTGCCGCGGGCAATTGTACATGCTGTGAACACAACGATGATCCAAACCAATAGGAAGCGCCCAGTCAGCCTGGGTATGCACAACCTGCAAAATTGAGGAGGTCAATATGAAGTCCATTTGCACACGTTCTCCGTCCATTGATCGCCGGCATGTCCAACTGTCTGCGCCAAATATCGGGTCGGCGAAGCGGTTTGAAAATTGAAGCCCGTATGAAAGCGCCCATGATGCGAGAGTAATTCCACGAATGTTCCGCTGCCCTAACCCACAAACTCCCATTGACGGTTCGTCACCGGCTTGCAAATGACCAAGGCTAGCATTGAAGTCCCCACCTAGGACGATGACTGCATCATCACGAATACAATTATCAAGCACAAGTGACAGCACGTCATATACCTCCTCCACGGCATCATCTGAATCCCAACTTGTGGGGAAGTATACCGCCACAAAAGCAAATTTTCTGGTCCCTTTGCAACAACGTAGCAAACAAACCCGAGGCGAATAAGCATGAAAGGAAATGTTGCGTACGTCTGTCTGCCATGTCTTAGACATGCAGATGCCAACACCTTGTCCCCGTGAGCCGCCACTGAAAAACAATTTGTCCCCACGTGTTGTCTTGAACATCTCCTCGTGGGCATCCCGCCAAGTTTCACTGACAAATAAAACGTCATACGAAAGCGCATTGACCTCACACAAAAAATCTTCAAATCTGGCTTGGTCCCTGACACTCTGCAAATTCTTGGTTACAGCATGCATCTGGTGCGTGAAACCAACAACGTCTTCTGCAAGTTGACCATGTGGATCATGAGCTGCACGCTTACCGGAAGCGATACTCCCGCGGTGCCAAGCTTTATTGCCACTGGTGTTTGCCGACTCCTACTCCATGTCATCTACGATGTCTTGGATGGCTGTTCGCACTTCTTCGCTTGCTGGGCATCCTACGTCTGCCCAGTCCACATAACCATCCTCGTTGACAGTCGCAACATGCACCAACTTTTGCTTCATGCGCACTGCACTCTTGTAACTGCGATAGTTGACCATGATGTCCCGTGGAGTGATGCTATCAATCTCAATCAAAAACTTTTTGATTTTGCTGGCCACCTTGCCTCGTTTCCTTTCTGTTGCCGAACGGTTCTCCGCGGCCCACAACTTTGCCTCACGCATGGCCTTGCTTGCTTTTTGTGTGCGAACAAATCTCTGCATCTTCACGGGCGAAGCAAATTGAGCGAAAACAACTGTTGGCGTTGAGCTAGTGGTGTAAACTAGCATTCTACCAGTAGTATTTTAAAACGATGCAGCCATTATTCTGCAACCCAAGCCAGATGCGATGCCGGGTTTGCCGGGTGGGGTGTCTGCTCGCTACGAATTTTCTAGGGTTGTCCGTTGGCACGCCAAGGATGTGGCAGCTCTGCCAGTCGCATCCTTTGAGCAAAAGCAAAAAGCTCTAAATGCTAAGTTCTCGGGAAACCAGAATGAGTGGTGGCTGAGAATTGTCAAGTCCAAGCCAGCAGACGGGTGGCAGCACGGCACTCCGAGAAAATCATCAGTTTGTGGTGCTGCTGTGAGGGATCGGCTCGGTACCAGGTGAGCACTTGAGTGCATGCGGCTAGTCGTATTCACGCGGTAAACGCAAAAAAAAAGGTAGTTTCGAGGCCGACTCAAAAAGAATTACCTAAACTATCTAGCCTCTGCCTGGGGTAGGTTAGGTAGTTCGGGGGCTGGCTGCAAGAGACCTGGATGCAAAAAGGCAGTTTCGGGGTCTGTCTAAACTATCTAAACTATCTAACCTCTGCTCGGGGGTGGCCCAGAAAGGTTTGAAGTTTTAAGTATTTAAACTATCTGAACTATCTGAACTATCTGAACTATCTGAACTATCTAAACTATCTAAACTATCTAAACTATCTAAACTATCTAAACTATCTAAACTATCTAAACTATCTAAACTATCTAAACTATCTAAACTATCTAAACTATCTAAACTATCTAAACTATCTAACCCCTGGCTGGGGGAGGTCAGAGGTTAACAATTTTAGATAGTTTAAACAGTCTAGATACTTTAGAAAGTATACTTTTACAGACGCACAGGCTGCAGCAACTGGCGATGTCGAGGCCATTCGCAAAGGGCGTGGCGCTGAGAAGCAAGATGAAGCAAACATGCATTCTGCGCCATGTGATTGGCAAATTCACAAGCTCCGCACATCGTAGGTTGGAGAGTCGGGACCGGAGACGGCTGATGGGGACGCTAGATTCGCAGCAGTCTGGCACCAAGTTTCCTTCCATGACGTAAAATGTTGGAGTTGAATGTTATATAGGTGATACAATATCAGCAAGTGAAATGACAACATGCTGTTGAGGCGAAATTCCGCGCACGTCGCCGCGCTGGATCCGCAGCTTCCATGTTTCAAGAAGTGGTGTGTTGGTTCACAAGACGTGGGTGATTGGTCGCAATGAAGGCGAGCAGGGCACGTGGAGGTCCGGCGTAGCTTCCGGCCCTTGCGCTGCCATCTGGGCACGCGTGTTGTGGCCAGGTCCTCAAGGTCTTGCACTCTCATGGTGTCGACATGGAGGCATGGCCGCATTGTGAGTTTTCATGTTTTTGGCTTACTGCCGTGAAACGGACCGCAGGCGCTTGACCGCTTCGGCCGTCCAGCGCTTCACCTGGCATGTGAGCATGGCAAGGCCCAACCCAATATCGCAACAACTCGCAAAAACATGAAAAGCAAAATATTTCGTGAAAGGCGCTTGCCATGAACTTTCTGCTGGATTGTGGCGCTCGTCCAGGCACGGAGGCAGGCCACAATGCCGCAGGCTCATGTTATCGGTACGAGAAATTACAACTGTACAGCCATGCAGGATAACAGCGGCCGGAATGCTTTGCATCTAGCATGCTGCTGCGAGGCTGAGGGTCCGTGCGCGTGTGTTTTTTTTGACCACTGTTTTGATTGTTTCAGACAGGACCCCGCTGTAAGCAGTGTTCTGGCAAGCCGGTGCCTCAGCCGAGTTTGGGTTCCGTCTTGCAGTGTTGAGTTCAAGGTCAGTTTCCGCACTTGGTGTTCCAACCGGATGCTCACGGAAGGCTCGTTGCTGAGACATTGATACTTACTATCAATGGTGTCTGTCTGGGCGTGGGCATGTCGCACCATACCCTTCTGAATGTCATAAGCCTCGTGGCATCCCGTTTGTTTTAGTGCCCGGGGGGGGGGGGGAGCAACAGCCAAGTTCCTAGTTGTGGTTTAAGTATTGGGTATGATTCCCAAGCTGAAGAGGGGCTTTGCTAATGGCATGCTGTGGAGCCAGAATGGGGCTTGTATGGCCTTGTGCAGGACACCTTTGTTTTATGCAGCGCTCAACACACATCCGCAGTCGCAGGGGGAGGCAAACCCGCTGTGATGGTGAGTTTTGCTCAGAGCGAGCAGTTCGTTTGGCACCTTGTGCAGGCGACGAAAGGGCATGGCGCTTGGCAATATCAAAGTCAGCTGTGGCCGCTTGCAATCGCTTGCTATGGCATGCTGCAAATGTCATGCCAATCGATGTGTACCTTTGAGAATGTGAATGCGTTGCTCAGTTTAAAGTGTTCAAAAGCATGAAACTAACTGAACACAGGCAGATGCAGACAATGACGGTATTGCATTGAGTGTGCGTGCATCTGCGCGTAGCTGAACTCTCCCTGTCGCCATGGGCCATGACATGCAGTTTCCCTTTGCCCCGCGCTTCAGAAGGATCCATTTGTGGGCAGCAGGTGTTGCAGCTGTTATTTGTGGTGATTTCGTTGCCTGGCAACCTGCTTTTGGACAAGGCCAGCAAGAGAAAATTGCAACTCCGAATAAAAGCTGTGCCATCGGCGGTTCGGCGGTTGGCTTCCCGACAGGCATTGGCTGCGCATTGCTCGGATTCTTCGTGGCGGCGCTGTTTTACGTGTTGCTGGTGAGCAGTCTCACAGAAGTAACCCCGCAAGAAATGGCATCTTCAATATCTTGAATCAACACGATGTTCTTGCTGTACAGTAGCAATGTAGGGCCACAAAGTTTCATCGTGTGAACTTCGGGAAGCGTCGTGCGGAATAGGTTCGCATCCTGGGTGTGGCTTAGGTCATAAGCCGGATGGGAGATGCGGAAGGCCCCAGCCAAGTTGCGGCCTGCATCGGGCCCAGGAGAGTGGTACATTTTGTGGTGTGCACTCTGTGGTGTGCACTCTGTGGTTTGCACTCGGTGGTGTGCACTCTGTTTGTTGCTTGCATGCCTTGAAATCGCCTTTGTCAGATTGGGCAGATGCAACATGCAGAAACACAAAGAAGACCACACCAGACAGCCAGAGTATGCCATAGTGCTCCCGGAAGGACTTCCTTCTTGGCTGGCTTCATGGAATGCTTGAAGTGTGTTCTCATCATTGCGGATGTGACTTCTGCCAGTGGCGCCCTAATGCAGGACAGAGGGGCCGGGGAGAGACTTTGAGGTCTGTGCATCGTGCGCTATGCATGTTGCGGCTGTGAGCGCTGCTGGCCGGGCAGGAGCTGACTGAGTCCCCTTCTGATCTTCAACCCCTGTGGTGGCTTCTTTTCTGTGGGATCATCCTATTGCTCAACAGCAAACTCATGACATTCTCAGTACAAGCTTTGGTGGCAATGACTTTGGCAAGCCTCGCAATTGTGCTGGCTTACTTCCTGTTCTCGCTGCCAGCCTTGATTTGTTGTAGGGGACTGGTTGTTCTGCGAGAACAGCAAACGTTGGCAACAACGAAGTAAAATCAGTTCACCGATGCATCTCAGGAGCGCACGCACTTTCGAACTTGCGCAGGAAGCGATGGCAGGCGCAAGCAGTTGCAAGCACATCCAAATTTAGCTCACTTTGATGTCGTGGTGACCGCATGAATGAAACGCTCCTGCCTGCACACTGTCCGCAGCATGTCATGAGGTGGAGACCTCTTGAGCGACGTGTCATTGCTAGCGTTCTTCAAGTCGCTGCCGGCTGGCATTTGGTGCTTTCTGGGCCTGGAACAAATGTTGTGGTTCGGCAAATTTGCAGTGGATCTCAAGACGAGACCTTGGGCTGCATCTGCTTTTCTTAATGCTTTCCCCAGTTTGTTCCCCAAGTGGAGCCATTCTTCTGTTGACCGAACCCACGTTTGCCTGCAGATCTGCCGCGTGCTCTCACCTGGTCATACGTTACGCTTTTCATCCTGGCGATGCTGACCTTGATTTGCAGTCTTGCTGCTTCACCAGGACGCGTGTGATCAAAGCTGACACTTCCACAGCCTAGCTACCTCATGACTGTTCAAAGAGGGCAGATGGACCTGTCTTGCCAGGCAGGCACGTCACGACGCACGAACAGTTCCCCTTGTTGGTTGCTTACTTTGACGTCTTCGGGGAGAGTGCTGTCGCCCGCTACTTCGCATTGCTCTTGCTCTTGGGCATCCTCGTGGCCTGCTTTAACTAACGTGTCATGATGGGTTCTGAGCATCCTGGCTTGTGTGATGTATTTGCAGTGTCTGAAATCCTGTGCACCATGGCTTGCCTTCGATGAACTGATGTTGAGGCTTCGCTGCATGTGTTCACCTTTGTGGCTGGGCAGCTTGTCACGCAAATGGCAGAAGACTCGTTGCTTCCAGCGTGTCTGGCCCAACGAGATGGGCAGACAGGACGCTGTGACGCCGTGTCCGTGCCTGGTGACTGTAATTGTGCTGTCCAGCTCTGCAGAGGGTTTTTGGAAGCTGGAAGGAGCTCCAACGTACTCCTCCGCAGTGTGTGTCGTGATCGCGCTCCTGTTTCTGGAAGTCATCTTCCAAGCCTTGGATCATCGCTATGACCCTTCGGCATGCACGACTTTGAACTTTACTTCCGCTGTTTTGGTACTCGCGTACGTGTGCTTCGGCATCTTCTGGACTTCGAGGCGTTTATTTGCTGAGCAGATGTTTTTCGCGTGTGTGACGGGGGCGGATTGAAAAACACATTCAGGGGCCTTGAAGAGTGACCCGAGCAAGTTGAGGAAGAGATCAGAGCCACTTTCACCAGTGCGGCATCCATTTGTGCCCTTGGGGGCTACATGATTCAGCTCATTTGCTTCATGTTGGTAAGATGCCGGAACCAAACTGAGGCCGGGCAATGCAGGGCATCACTAGACTGTCAGTGTCATGTTCTTCAATCTCCAGCCCTTCACGGCGGTTGCGACATGCCAGTCTGTCCGTGGCACAGGACACCATATTCTTATCTCCCTTCGGAATGCTGGGCGCTGGAACTGCTTTCGCGATTACGCTTGTCCTGATGGCAAGTGTGCTGCTGTCGCCTTTGTTCCACTCGCTGAACTTCTGTGCCTCACTTCGGCATATTCTTGTTTGAAACATGTTCAGAGCCAGCCAGCATTGCATATTTAGCTTGATGGCACCCATGGCAGTGGAGCAAACTGAGGTGGAGTAGCGCTTTCGCTAGCAGTGCTTCTGCTCGCCAACTGCCTTCACGAATCATACAGACGTCAGCAGAAACGGAAGTCCGCACGAAGCAGCAGCAACCTGGCCGCCGTGGAGAGTGCCGGCATGTTGATCTGCGTGTAACATGGTTCGATGTGGCTGGGAGTGTTAATGAAGTCCTCGAGCAAAGCGGTGAGATGTTGATGTGGGGATATGTGGGGCACCTTGGTCGCGGCTGAGGCACAATTCTGCAGAAGATGGACTGCGGCACAACGCAGCCGCAAGCAAGGGCATGAACTTCGTGAACCCTGTAGGATCTTGTAGGGCCACAAGTGCCGCGTAGGAATTCGGCATTCGGCATGTGTGGGGAACGCCGCATAGGCAAGCTGGGAGGATAGCGGCACAAGCCCTCTACTCCCATTGCTTGCAACTTTCCAGTTCGTTCTGCCCGGAAGGAAAAGATTTTGCAAGCATGTTGACCCCAAACAGTGAGAGACCATGTCTTCCCAGACGTCCAAAAGTGGGGACGGCAGTTTCGCATTTTGGTGAACCCAAACGGAACGAGAATTTTCGAGGACGGCGAGCGCGGCCACGCGCGCCTAGGCGAGAGCGCGATTTTAGCCCAACAAACGGGCAGGCTTTGAACGTAAACCCATAATGAGCATAGTTGACACACTGTTTGGGGAACATCTGCCTTTTGACAGTTGCCAGAAATCAAACAAAGGCTACTGCAGCTTGCGGCGGATATCAACCACCGAGACTCCTTCGGCAGAGTCGATCTCCTCAGCTGGCGCCCTGCACGTCTGAGCAACTTAAAGTATGGCCTGATGCAGAGAGGTTGCCCTCCACCACGCTGCAGAGGAAGGCTAGTGGCTCAGATCTTCGAAAGACAGGGAGATGCAGAACGAGTTGGTGATCTGCAAGTCAGCTGTGGGCAGGTCAGCTGATGTCAGTTCGTCTCTTGCTAAAGCACAAGGCAGATCCAGCCGTTCAGGTGGGAAACACTAATTTCTTTGCAAAAGTCGTTACAATTGACAAGCACATTAGCAAGCCAGAGAAGCTGTGCAGGATCGGGAAAAGGAAACGCCTTTGCAGCTGGCATCCAGTGATGCTGCCAGGAGCTTCTTTGTTGTTTGTGACAGAAGTAGTGAATCCTTGGGCGCAGTCGTGTTGCACATGCCGTGGTTGTATAAGCCAGGTGCTTCCGACATGCTTCGCACATTTCGTTCTGCAAGTGGGGTGCAACTCGTGGTCCGTCAGCTTTTGCGGCTCGAACTCATTTGCGCGCATGATGTTGGAGCTCATGTGAGGGCGTGTGCCCCCCTTCAAGTTGCAGTTGAAGCGTGGTACAAACACCAGGCCCGACCCAGCTGTCAGCGCAACATTCACACTTTCGTTCCCTCGGCCCCAAAGCACGACAGGCATCATGGCAGATGCTGAGCAGAAGAAGCAGCTTGCTGGAATGAGCAGCATGTATTGTGAATTGCACAATCGAATGATCGGCTGTCATCCAACCTCTGGCACATGAGGACCTTCTCAATGGGCATAGATTTGGGGACTACATATTCGTGCGTGGGAATTTTCAAAGATGGTGAGGCACGATTGTCCGTAAATGTCGGTCACTAGTGAATCACAAGGGTCACATGAGCACCCTTGCAAAAGGTACAGATTATTGCCAATGATCAAGGCAATCGAACGTGGCTTGGCTAAGGTCAAGTGACCCCCTGCGATGAAACGGTTCTCAGGAACCTCAAGCGGTTTCAGCACGACATTTGCTGCCAGGACTCCATCTTATGTGGCATGGACAGAGAATGAACGACTTCTTGGTGATGCCGCCAAGAACCAGGTCCTACTGACTGTAAGTGCCCTGTGCCCGACATGTCTCAACTACTCTTAACAAGCCAGCGAGAAACATCATGAATCATTCGGAGTCACCCTGGCAGCTCCACAGGTTGCGAGCAATCCTACGAACACGGTGTTTGACGCAAAGCGCCTCATCGGACGCAAGTTCCAGGACACCGGGGCGAATCGGGGAACTGCAGCTTCGACTAACTTCCGCACTCGGGTGTATTCCAGGCATTGGATAGTTGGCATGGGGCAGGTTTAGGAGCACTGGCTTTTGATTGAGCACTGCTGAGCTGTATCTTCCTGTCCCATTTCTTTTCTGAAATTCAGGACCCGGTCGTGCAGGCTGATCTGAAACTTTGGCCTTTCAAGGCCGACGCGGTGCATCGGGTCTTATTGCCATGTGCAAGACGCCCAACCAAGTTGCCATCATGTAATCATGCGGAGCCAGTGGAGAGGTTGTGTCCGATGGCTCCGCGGATGACAAGCCCTTGATTGAGGCCATGATTGCGCATGTCCTGCCAAAAATCAAGAGGGACACACATTGCACGCGTAGCCGCTGATATGCATCGTGTTTATTAGACAGCCATGGCTCAGAACATGTCTGGGAATTGAAGCACGACTCAAGACGCAAAACGCCTTACCATGGGAACTCTCACTGCTGCGTGCTCTTGGATGGCCAGGTGCTGTACCAGGGGGTTTCCAAAACTTTTCACCCGGAGGAGATTTCGTCCATGCCAGCTGGCAGCATTAGTGAAGGTTCCTAAATGTCCGAGTCGCTTGTGTGCTCTGTTCCCGACACAGAGCCTCCAGCTCCTCGCCACTCGCAGGATTCTCACAAAAATGAAGCAGACGGCGGAGGTGCCTTGCAGATGCTGCAAGCTTTGTTTCAGCGAAGCTGAGGGCTCACATTGAAAGCCCCCTAAACTTAAACCCCTAAAACCCCCCTTCAGAGCCCCTTAAGCCCCCTTAAAGCCCCCTTAAGCCCTCCCTTTCACCCCCTTAAAACCCCCAGGGAATTGTACAGGTCGTGCTCCTCAAGCTTCAGCTGCGTACGCTTGCGGCTCGCGTTTATGAAAATGCAGGCCTTCCTTGGTCAGCGTGTTCGAAATGCGGTGATTACGGTGCCCGCCTACTTCAATGATTCCCAGAGGCTGTCATGCTGTTGTGCAGAAAGCCTCAAATACCATGAATACCTCCTTGAAGATGCTCCATGGCAATGCAGGCAAGCAACCAAAGATGCCGGGGAAATTGCTGGGCTGAAGCTTGCTACGCATCAGGTTTGGGCGAAGCCTTGCCAGTTCTTTCGGCTCGACAATCTTGATGGGGGTTGTGACTCTTGGGCGGAGGCTGCGTATCGTGGACTGTTGTCACGCAATGCTTCCAAGGAACGTGTTGCGGATCGTTAACGAGCCCACGGCGGCAGCAATCGCGTATGGTTTGGATGCGAAGTCGAAGGAAAAAAAGACTGGTGGAGCCGCTTGACAGCTGGAATGGTAGGTCAGCATGTGTAAGGCCATGTACGGCCTGTTTTTTTTTTTTCGGCCCCCATGCGTTCTGCGATGTTGGCGTCTGCATGGCACCAACATGAAATCCAGGGGGACGTGCAGACGAGAGACCCACGGGCCCGGAATGCACTTCTTTCTAAATCTAAGAGGATTCACAAATCAGATCCTCGGACATGGCCCAGTGGAATCCCGTGATTCTGGCCTCCACGTGATGATAGCATGAAATTTTCAAAGGTGGGGGGCGCAGCTGAAATTTGAAACCCTGCTTTGCCCTTTCAGTTTTGTGTCTTCGGGGAGTGGTCGTTTGCGCCTGGCCCAGCTGAGTGCGATAAGATGCCAGAGCCATTGACGTTCAAAATCTGTCGGTGGGGCAGAATGTTGTGCAGACTTGCTTGCCTAGCTAAATGTGAGAAGATGCCGGTGTCATTGCCGACGGCTCTTGTGAAACATACCATGGCTTGCCCCTGCCCAAGACTGCTCATGAATCCTGCCAGATTTGTCTGTCCGGGTTTCTGCCGGCGCCCACAGTGGCTGGTATCGCGTAGGGCCGTGGAGCCATGATGCTGGCCTCCATATGGCGCCAACATGAATCGAAGGTGCGGCATGTGCAGCCGAAGGACCAGAGTTGGTCTTTCGGCTTTGAAGGCTGCGCCACAACCAAGTCGTTTGAGCGGCATTCGGGCATGTTGCGCAGACTTACCTGCCTAGCTGAATGTGAGTAGATGCCAGGTTTACTGACAGAGTGCAACATGCCAGGGCTTGTCTCTGTCCAAGAATCCTCACAAATCCCACCAGATCTGTCGCTCGGGGAAACTGCTGGCGCCCACACTGGCTGGTATCGCATAGGCCCCTGGAGCCATGATGCCGGATCGAAGCGGCATGTGCAGCCGGGGGACCTGCGTTAGACGTTCGGCTTTGATGGCTGCGCCACAACCAATTCGTTTGAGCAGCATTCGGGCATGTTGGGCAGACTTACTTGCTTATCTAAACTGTGCATTTCCATTCTGGCCCATCGATCCTACTGGCGACAATTATCGTTCTCGTGCGCCGAAAGCGAGAAGAACGATCGCGACCAGTTGAAAGAATGGGAAAGCCAGCTTCGCATGTATGTCCCAGTATGTCCTAGTAGCCACCGGCATATGGGTTCAGAACAGATTTCTATCCTCATCTGAGAATCGTTCTTGTGGGATTATCGTTCTCGTGCACCGGAACCGACGAGAACGATTCTTGTAGCCAGTTTAAACCACGTTACAGAATGGGGAAGGTGCCGTTAGAGCTTAGGATGCCACGGCTACGGCTATTGCCGACAGAGTGCAACATGCCAGGGGTCCAAGACTGCTCATGAATCCTGCCAGATTTGTCGGTCCGGGTTTCTGCCGGCGCCCACAGTGGCTGGTATCGCGTAGGGCCGTGGAGCCATGATGCTGGCCTCCATATGGCGCCAACATGAATCGAAGGTGCGGCATGTGCAGCCGAAGGACCAGAGTTGGTCTTTCGGCTTTGAAGGCTGCGCCACAACCAAGTCGTTTGAGCGGCATTCGGGCATGTTGCGCAGACTTACCTGCCTAGCTGAATGTGAGTAGATGGGTTTCTGCCGGCGCCCACAGTGGCTGGTATCGCGTAGGGCCGTGGAGCCATGATGCTGGCCTCCATATGGCGCCAACATGAATCGAAGGTGCGGCATGTGCAGCCGAAGGACCAGAGTTGGTCTTTCGGCTTTGAAGGCTGCGCCACAACCAAGTCGTTTGAGCGGCATTCGGGCATGTTGCGCAGACTTACCTGCCTAGCTGAATGTGAGTAGATGGGTTTCTGCCGGCGCCCACAGTGGCTGGTATCGCGTAGGGCCGTGGAGCCATGATGCTGGCCTCCATATGGCGCCAACATGAATCGAAGGTGCGGCATGTGCAGCCGAAGGACCAGAGTTGGTCTTTCGGCTTTGAAGGCTGCGCCACAACCAAATCGTTTGAGCGGAATTCGGGCATGTTGCGCAGACTTGCCTGCCTAGCTGAATGTGAGTAGATGCCAGAGCCTCCATATGGCACCAGCATGGTGCGTGCAGCCGAGAGATCTGTGTTGGAAAGGGTCTTTCGGCTTTTGGCAGGCTGCACTCCAACCATGTCTTTTTGTTCTCAAGTCTCGCTGTACCAGGGTTTTGGCCAGTGCATGTGCCCAAGACACATACGTTGCCGGTCGTCTATTCTGCTCAACCTGCATTGCACTTCTGGGCCACCGGCATCATGCGGCAACATGGAACATGTGTTCACCCGGGGCCAGACAAGGTCAAAGAGACCAATATCCTCGTTTTCGACATGGGCGGTGGAACGTTTGATGTCACTTGGTCGCATTGTATCAGGGTTCTTGGAGCTGCCTTGCCTGTGAGAGAGAGAGAGAGAGAGAGAGAGAGAGAGAGACAGAGAGAGAGAGAGAGGCTGAACGCGGGATCGGGGCGCGCTCTCGCGCGGGGGGTTACCCCCAAGCCCCCAAGAAAGAAAGAAAGAAAGAGAGAGAGATTGTATCCTTGCACAGGGCAACAGCACAGTAGAGTTCGTAAGCCACCGTGGGGGCCGGGGAGTTGCAGGCTGTGTTTCCAGGTTGTCTGGGGCTGTGAATTCAGGTAGGCAGGGCTACTTCGGATAGGGGTTGCAGCCTGTTTGAGACCACGGATGGCCTACCCGTCTCACAGCAACATCCTCCGGGGGCCAAGGGGCCGGTTCTAGGTGAGCAAGTAGTCTAGTACCCTTGAAGCTACTCGCAAGAAAGGCCCGGGAGGTTGCTAAGTGTAGCCACTCGGGGAAGAAATGGAAGGGCATGGCGCGGGGCTTAGCGGGGGGGCCTAGCGGGGGCGGGGTACCAAGGACTCCTAAGGAATGGGTGCAAGGGAACAAGCGCCAAGCCTGACCACGTCCCCGAGACAAACTGAGGATCCCCGAATACCGGGGCAGGCGCACAGCCAGGGGGTTCGCCCCCACGCCCCCAAGAAAGAAAGAAAGATTGTATCAGGGTTCCGTTAAAATTGAGTTGTTTGCTTTCAGCTATCACAGCTTAAGGAGCTTGGTGGAGTCTAAGGTCTCCATTCTGACAATTACAGACACTGTCTTTGAAGTGAAAGCCACGGCTGGAGATCCTCACCTGGGTGGCGAGGACTTCGACAACCGCTTCCTGGCTGCTTCATGGGGCTTCGTTGCGAAGCAGAGCTCGGCTTCCCTTGAATGGAGATTTTGAAGTATCTATCTTATGTATATCTGCGTACTGAGGCATGCTGAGCTACTGCATTGCAGAGTTCCGCCGCAAGCACAAATCCGATCCAACCAGGACCTCTATCCTTGAGTTGGTTTTGGATCTTTTGGTCCCCTTGGCTATGAGTCCTTGTGATTATCTCAGCGGTGGTGACAAGGAATCAGCGAGCACTTCGTCGACTTCGGACCCAGTGCGAGCGTGCAAAGCGGCAGCTGTCCACGCAGACATCCGTGACCATAGAGCAGCCAACTCAGACTGCAGACACAACGGTGTTAAACAGGAATTAGCTGCAACAGATAGGCTGCAAAACATGATCTGTGCCTTTCGAGGGCTTTCGGAAAACAGCTCTTTTGTTGACATCTGAGGATTGACTCTTTGCACGAGGGCAACGACTTCAGTATGCGGCTCTCCCGTGCAAAGTTCGAGGAGCTCTGTGTTGACCTCAGACGCATCATTCGCCTTTGGCGTGTTTGGCGTGGGCATGCGCGGACGTGTGGGCTCTCAAAGGCATGGACTACTTCAAGAAGGCCATGGAGCCGGTTTCGCAGCGCTGAGCTGGGTATGTGAGCGAAGGAGATGGAGGGAGAGAGAGAGAGAGAGAGCGAGCGAAAGAAAGAAAGAAAGAAAGAAAGAAGGAAGAAGCAGGAAGCTGGATGCTCGGCCCAGTATGCCCCGTGGGCCCAGTGGTCTCCTCAGGTGCCTGGCAGATAGCAGCTTGCCAAAGTCACAGATCTCTGATGTGGTCCTGGTGGGCGGATCCACGCGCCTGGGGCTTGGTTCCTGCTCTGCCCTCGGCACCTTGAGCTGAGCTTCGGATGCCTCGGATCGGAAGGTATTCCCAAAGTCCAAGAGCTGATTAGCTCCTTCTTCAACGGCAAGCATCTTTGTAAGGAGCGTCGTGGCCTCTTCGGTTTTTCGTTGCTGGAAACTCCGCTCAAGAGACTTCAGGAGATCAATCCGGATGAGGCAGTGGCATATGGAGCGGCCGTTCAAGCGGCCATCGTCTCTGGCACGGGTGCCTCCCACAGCTTCATGAGGGGTCTTCGGGATTCTGCGGCCCTTGTTGCAACAGTCGATCAGCTGAAGTCCCAAGTGCAGGCACGGAGGAGGTCGAGAACATGCTTCTCTTAGATGTGGCGCCGCTTTCTTTGGGCATCTGGGAGCAAGGTCATGCGATGTTCGTGCGCGTTTGGGTGCTGTGCCGCTTGCGTCGATCCTCCAAAGAAGTGCTTGGAGACTGAAAAACTCAAACCAACTTGTCCTGACCTCACGTCCGCATGCCCCCTCCCCCCACCAGCAATTGTGGCCCAGAGAGACAGGGGCCTTTGGAGATGAGGCATTGAGATGGCGGGCGGCATGATGCAGAAGCTCATCGAGCGAAACAGCACCATTCCGACCAACAAGAGCCAGGCGCGGACTTAATACTACTGGTACATTGCTCTACATGGTCCCGACATGTTACGCACGCGCCTGTTCCCGCACTTGCATGGTAATTCAGGACTTCACAACTGCAGAAGACTACCAGGACCACGTGGAGATCAAGGCCGGAAGGTACACATTCCTGGGCCTTTTCCATCCTACTCGTATTGGCAGAAGGTAGAAGGCACATTGACGTGTCGTTCGGAATTTATGGCCAAGTCGATTCAAGTTGTGCTCGGATGCGTGACAGGTCTATGAGGGTGAGCGAGCTATGGTCAAAGCATCTCGGCTATCGAAAGCGCAGTTCACAATGAACGAGAGAGTGCTCGGCTGGCCTGCTTATGAGGACAACAATTACCTTGGCAAGTTCGTCCTCACTGGCATTCCGAAGACGCTAAGGGGCGTCCCCAAGATCAAGGCGGCTGGCGTCTATCGAGAGCTTGTCCATCATCCAAGCGCTTCCCTTCTGCCCAGGTCACCTTTAATGTGGACTCAAATGGAATCCTCGAAGTGACCGCAGAGGCAGCTTACCGAATTGGCCCAGCTTCCAAGTAGAGCCATCCTGCTATCTTATGCACACGGGCAGGACATGAAGACTCACAGGAAAGGAGAGATCCAGATCACCAATGAGAAGGGTGGGGGGCACCGGAGCAGTGCTGAAAGCAAGAATCGCTAGAACCGATTCTGATGTCATCTGGCCAAGGTCGCCTGTCTCAGAGAGAGATTGAGCGCATGCTGCAGGATGCGGAGCAGCATAAGGCGCCGGAGCAGCATCTGCTCTTGCAGTCGTTGGGGGTTCGAAGACCACATGCATAGCATGCGCAGGATGAAGATGATCTGGCAAGAGGCGAGATCATGGCCAGAGAGGCGCCGAGTACGCCATGGCCATCCTGAATCAGACAAGTGCAAGCGAGTAAAAAATGGAAGGCTGGAGGCTTCCAGTGGTGTATTTGCATGCGGTGGAAACAAATAGGTGCGACAATCCTATATCGACATATGCATACATGTGATGCGAGCATATAGACATATATGCACATATTCATTCACATACCAAAGCCGATATAAATGCAAACCGGCACGCCCCGCGGCAATCCCCTTGGTGAAGACTCTCACCTTAATGCCCACATGATATGAGAATTTGGTGCGTGCCGGGGCACGTTGTGAGGAAGCCGTTGCGTCGGATATCGTCATTTCAACATGTAAATATAATGAGTGCCTGTGAAGTGCGCTGGGTTACGAGAGCGCTGGCTTCAGCTGCATCTCGCTACACAGCACTGAATGCTTTCGGGTGCAAGATGCCTTGCGCCAGTCCTTGACGGTGTACATGCGGCGGACGAGGAAGGCCATGGAAGACATAGACTCTGCCAGCTGCCCAGACCTTTGTCCAAGATCAAGCCTGTCTGGCCAAACACAGATGGCAATGCAGTGCAACACGGCGCTGCGCATGGAAACAGGACAAGATTCTTCGACGAGATCGTGAGCGTCTTGAGAAGAAAATGGAAGAGGCATGCCGAGACGGGCAGCTCTAAGACGCTTCCGACTTCCGAAGTTCGCGTAGTGCCACTGCTCGCCACGTTTTTCCAAGAGGTCGACATTTGGCTAGACGAATTTTCCATGAAGGCTGGTGCTGGGGCATCCATGTTGCTTCTCTCGCAACTTGCAGCAGTCCTGAGTGCAACTTGGCAGGCAACGAAGGAGGAGTTCGAAGCCAAGCAGCGGGCCGGGAGGGTTGCAACATGTTGCATCACATGTTGCATCATGTTGTACTAGAATGCACCAGCCCCACAGAGTCGCATACACCGGGTCACCAGGATTCAACCAGGATTTTACGTAGCCACGCTCCACATGCAGGAGCTTGAAGCTGCCATGAACACCATCATGTTGAAAATCAACAGGACCGTTCGGTCGGTGGCGTGAAGTTGCTTCGCGTTTACCGTGGAGTGGTATGCCCGAAGGACGGAAAGCGACTTCTGGGAACAACAGGCACTTGTTGCTTGATGTTGTCGCTGTGTTCGCCTCTTCAGAAACAGCATGGCGAAATTGGAGAGAACTGCGCTACCGAGACTCTGCAGGAACTTTGAGGGTTTGACCCAACCCCGAAGTTAGGCAATTTGTTGGTGGGTACTCCTGTTCGATCAAGGATCATTTGGGGGATAGACGCGTGGTTGGTGTGCTTGGGGGTTGTTGGGAACAAGGTGACTGACCACTGGAGGCTAAAGTGCACAGCCATCCCCGCATCACTTTTGCATGCGGTGCCCGCCCCAGAAGATCCCTGGACTGCCAATCTGATCATCTTACGGTAGGCGCTGCGGGGAACGTCGGGGCGGGGGAAGGTGGACTCCGAGTCAGGCATCATCTCGGACTGTGCATTGCAGGAATCATACTCGGACGGTCCCGTCAGACGCCTTTTAGGTGTCATCGTTTCGGATGCTTCGTGCATCATCGGGGTGGGAGATCGGAAACTCCCAGCGAAAGCAGAGAATAACATGGCAAGTTTTTGAGGCTCGCTTGGGACCTGGAAAGGGAGTGGGAGCATGAGAGCCCATCAACAGATCACGCGTTGATCCAGGCAGCGCTGCCTGACAACGAGAAGACAGTCGAGAACGGCGGGCACCTTCACCTAATTGATTTTGAGGGTGTCATGTCTCGGTCCATCTTCACGTTGCACCTGCTGGTCGACAACGCTGCAATGTGTTCAGAATTCAGTATGCCATTATGCTTACACTGGCAGTGACTGGAAACTCCGAATCTGATGCTTCCTGCTGCCTTGATCATAGTCACAGATGCCATGAAACGAGTGGGGCAGCTGATTTTGCTGGGGCTTGCCTTGCCTTTGCCATGCGCAGCCATGCGCCGCCATCCGCAGCCTAGGTACTACTTGGATTCTGGCCTTGATATCCGTGTCATGGCTAGCAGCACAAAATCAAATCACTTGACGTCAGCAGCAGTTGTCCGTGGTGGCGGGGGTGGAGCGGGGGGGTCGCAACATGTCTCAACTGCGGTGTTCTTTGCCGTGTGCCTGTGATGCTGAGGCGATCTGATCGAAGATCCAGATTAGCTGAGGGGCTCCTGAGCATCTTTTGCAGACGGCTTGTCTATGGCCTCCTCGCATGAGGGTCGCCGTGGTTCCCAGGCAGTGTAGATTGTTGCAGTCCTAGCCTCCATACTCATATCGTGGGCTGTCCTGCTTCGCGAGAAGTCTTGGGGCACATGCTGAAGCATGCAAATGGCATCAGAGGCACGTGCCATCATATTTTCCAATCGTTTCCCTACGAGGGGAAGTACCAGCAGCCTGCAAAGCGTGCGAGCCCAAAAATGCAGAACCTGCTGCTCGACGTCGCATGCAATCCTTCCCATCGTCGTTCTTTTCCCCTGAACTTGCCGAAATACGCAACCTGTTGCAATGCACATGGGCAATCAATGCTGGAATGCTCCTGGCTGCTCGGAGACTTAGGTGCGGCGTGAGCTGCTGAAGGCCTCGGGAGCTTCCGAGGCGCCAAGACATAGATCTCGGTAGTGCGAGGGGGAGGCTTGTTTTCAAGCCGGGGGGTGCGCACTTTGCCGAAAGTGGCCGAAATAGGACTGGGCTGGGATGGGTTCTGCAAAGAGGAGTCAGGAGGCGTACTCCTTAGCGTGCTAGAGGCCTCCTGTATACTCTCCGAAAGATCTGAGACCCCAAGACGAGACCTCTTGAAGCCCAAGATGTGATGAAAGCTGGGGATGGTGGCTGGAACTACTTGCGACGAGCCCGACAGCGAAGATCATTCTGGGCGTCCGGGTTCTTGCGGTACGGTCGGCTTTGTGAGTCCATCGTGGATAAGGGAAGGAAGGCCTCTCTGAAAGCCTGCTTCGTCGTGGGGGGGGGAGGAAGGGGAGGCGAAGCTTCGACGCCACTCGCCCAAGAGAAGCAGGGCTGCGACCCGACTAGCGTTTCACATGCGCAGCGACAGTTCTGCCTTACACAATCGGGGCACCCTCAACTGTCAAGCCTACAGTTATATACACCTGAACCCTAACCAAGTTTAACCTCCTGCCTCCGTGCTGCTGTGGCCGGCGGTGGCTCGAAAGTGTCCGCCCCCCATCCCTCACCTCCCACAAGCTCATCTGGCTGTGCGATGTCATGGTTCCTTCGGGGGCCAGCAAGGCCGCGGTGAAGCAGCTTCTTGGCCAAAAATGTGGATTGAGAGACGAGGAAATTTTCAAAGGGAGTTTTTTTCGCCTTGCGGCACTTGCAAGGCTGGCCAAGCTTCAGAAGCGTCGCGAAAGACGGGAGCAGGAGCCCGCGGAGCGGCAGGAGGTGCGCCTTCCCCCCAGCAGCGGAGCACCGCCTGTCATCGAGCTAGAGGACATCGCTGGGAGTACTTTTCACAGCTGCGAGCATGCCCAGCAGGTACAACGCCTAGGAGCAAGCGTAGGGCGTAGGATTTGGCTTCGCAGGACCTAGACGACTGGCTGCCTTTGGTTTTAGATCACCGACGGTTGCCTCCGAACGACAAGATGCTTGGCTGCAGTCTTGACCACCAGAGTTGCCCAGAGTGTGCCTGCAAAGATACGGAAGTCAGCCCAGGAATCCTAGCTCTTTGTGTGTGCTGGAGGGCTTGGGTGACAGTGCTCCCACCACCTGTGGCCCTGGCGTGGAAACGGTCCGCAGAATCTATGCAGATCCAGCGGCTCTCAAGGAGCACAAGTCTGGATTGAGGCGAAAACGAGGCAGTTCTCGGTGGAGGCCTCCCAGCAATCCGGTTGGCCACACGGTCCCCGGCAATGCACGATATGAGGAAGTATTGCCTGAATTCAGAAGTTTGCCTGCAATCACGCACTCGGTTTCCATGCCAGCGACCAGCAGTGGTGTTTTCTTTCAAACAGAAGTCAAGATGGAAGACGCGGCGCCGGTTGTGATGAAGACGTCCTCTGTCCCGAATCTGCCGAGACTGGGCCTAGCCGAAGAGCTCCCCGAGATGTCGACCACAGTGGAGCTGAAGAGCTCCTTAGGTGTTGTTGAGACGGATTCTCTGGAGATCAGGCCAGAGCCAGATGAACGAGCCGGTTCGAAAGGCGGAAAGCATAAGCAGGCGCAGCGCCTGATGAAAGCCTTTGAAAAGGCAGTTTCCGGGAGGTCCATCCTGATATTCACCGACAATGCAAATGTTAGAAAGGGCATCATGCGATCCTTAATGTGCACGTCCAGAGAGATGTCTATATGCTTCGCGCGCTCCTCCAACGATTTGTGGAAAAGGCTCCAGGACAGCAAGGAGAGATTCCATGCGCTGATCGTAGATCTGGGCAAGTCGGAACTTGAAGCAGAGGGGCTTGTCAAGACAGTCCGGGCTGATGCACACTATGGTGGAATTCCAATCATCGTGCTTTCTCAAGAGCGCGACTTGCCTGACCTGGTCAGGAAAAGCTGCAGCTTTGTCGTCTTTCATCCATTGTCATCCTCCATGCTCAGAGAAGCCCTGTTGTGGTGCTTCAACCGCCAAGCTTTACGAAATCAGAGCTACTACTTTCCTGCAAGCCAACAGCCCGAGATCCACCCAAAGCTAACAGCGGCTGCCTCGTCAACATCATTGAACTTGACTGTGAGAGCGAGGAGGCTCAAGATGTAGGCCTCTTGCAAGGCAAGAACTTGGCGACTGGTTTCTGATGCGCAGTGCATGAAAGGTGCAGGCACATTGTCAGCGGTTGGTTGCCCTCGTCTTGCAGACTGTGGCATGTTGAAGCTGTAGGAGCGAGCAATCGTCTCGCGCAATAGGCTCTTCTGATGCGCTGTTTCACCACTTCGCGACTGCGTGTATCACGGATGTCAAATCTTTGCGCCAACAAAGCATCGCAAAACAAATGGACAAACCCCTGCGGGGGTATGCAGCCCCATCACCCGTGATCAGAAGAGCCCTTTCAGCTTCAGGCAGCTCCGGCCGGCCAGCTTGAAGCCGAGGTAATCCGAAATTCTTTACGGACTGTTCTGATCCCACGGATCCCGCTCAACAAGAGTTCCTGCGACCCTGCTCTAAGATTCCAAGGCCTCACCCCTGTGCAGCCTCTTCACATCATCCGGCAACGCCGAAGAAGACATCGCGCGTGACTTATTCTGAAGCTAGTGCGACTCAGTTGATTGTGGCCAGTCCCAGGCCAGCTGTTGGGACGCGGAACGCCGAAAAGCCCAGAGGAGCTTTCGCCGACCTGTGAGCTGCGCCATCATAACCTTGAGATCCTTCGGGCGCGAAGAGTCAAGAGGAGACTCTGGATCACTTCCTCCACTCAGGCTTGGATACTGGATAACGTAATAGTACATGTGCGTGCCAATGCACGTGAGCGAACGCAATCAAGGCGAAATCTGTCGTCCGTGCAGGCAGGACAGGTGCGAGGGCCCCGGTGCTTCACGGACTGTCTTGCAGCACTGCCTCAGCACAACCTGAGAACACAGTAGAATCTCGTGATGTCGCGCGTAACAGGGACCGACAGGGACAGCATGATCCGCAGCCACTGGGTCCAACGAATTCATGATTGGGCATGCTGATGCCCAGTGGCGTGTAGATGTCCTGCAGCAGCAGAGCTGCGTCTTGGCGCCCCCGTTCAGTTGAAACTGTGTGCGCGAATGCGCGTGCGTGATGTGTGATGTGTTTCCTTTGAACAAATGTACTCTGAGGAACTCCCTTGATGCCGGATGATGATGATGGTTCAAGCAGTCCCAGAAGTGAAGCCTCGAAGCTTGGAGCAGTCCACGAAAGTACTGCTGAGAAGTGCTTCTCTGGCAGGGATGGTATTTCGAGTTAAGCTTTTGCAGCCCAGGAGCGTCCCTGAGAACCACATCGCCAATGCTCGCAGCCCTACGCGGATCGCAGACATCTTAGTAGGGTTGGGTAGGTTTGCAATCTTGAGGTCGAAGATGCTGCAGAAGAGTGCCTTGCCTGCAGCACCTTGTGCAAGATGTTGAAGGTCCAGGCCAGTGAATGCTTAAACTCCTCCTCGTCTCGTTCCCATCCTGTCGGGAACATGGCGGCGCCTGGCTGGGCAGAACAACTCACGTGGTGAGGGCATTGCGTCAGTACTGTGTGATCGGTTTCAGCTTGGATTTGATGTCGGCAAGGATCAACTCCACAACGTTCGAAGAGCTACGACTGCCAAAGGAGTTGTCGGCAGCGATGGTGAAGGCGAGACACCAAAGCCGTAGAAGCACATTTGTTTGGGGAGGTTTTTTTCTTGATTGTCTTTATTTATTCCCTGGTTTTTCTGGTCTCCTGGTCCCTTGGTCCTGTGCCCTTGGTCCTCTGCTCTCCCGGTCCCTTCCTGGTCCTCTGCTCTCTTAGGCCCTTGGTCTCGTAGTCCTGCGGCCTAAACCCTAAACTATAGGCCTTCGGCTGCATAGACGTGGCTTTCTGTATTTCTTTGCTTCTACATTTTTGCATTCTTTGTCTTTCCGTTTTTCTTTTAGGTGTTTTTCTTTCTTTCTTTCTCTCTCTCTCTCTATTTCTTTCTCTCTCTCTCTCTCTCGCTCTCTGTCTCTCCTCTCTCTCTCTCTCTCTCTCTCTTTCTGTCTCTCTCTCACGATTGCAGAATGTACGTGTGTGTGTGTGTGTGTGTGTGTTGCCAGCCCAAGTCCAGGGCCATACGTGCCCACACTAACTTAACTGACTCGGTTCGGGCGGCCGTGGGGGGAGAGAGAGAGTGCAGAAGAAGAAGAAGAAGAAGAAGAAGAAGAAGAAGAAGAAGAAGAAGAAGAAGAAGAAGAAAAAGAAGAAGAAGAAGCAGCAGAAGAAGAAGAAGAAAAGAAGAAGAAGAGGAGAGAGAGCAAGAGCCAGAGCGAGCGGGAGAGCGTGCGGGAGAGCGTGCGGGAGAGCGGGAGAGCGGGAGAGCGAGAGAGCGAGAGAGAGAGATAGAGCAAGAGAGAGCGAGAGAGACAGACCTCTCGTGTTGTAAAGTGCTCTCGTGTCGTGCAGTTGTAAAATGGGCGTTGTAGAACGGGGGTTCTGGATGTACAAGGGCATCTGGTTGTAAAATGGCTCGCCCTGTCTCAGGTTTACGGTTTTTAAGGGTTCAGGTTGCAGGGTGGAGCCATACGGTTGCCGGCTATGCTAATCGCTGTGCCAGGCAACTTGGGGAGAAATCTACATACATACTTTTGGCGGCGGGGGATGTTGGGACTTTCTCGGCTATCTGCTTGTCAGGTCCAAAACTCGTTTCTGCCAACAAGCAACAGGCCCAAAATGACAACGGCAACTTGACTAGAGGGGCAGTAGCGTGCGGCACGAGCGAAGCACGAAAGAGGTGATGTGTGAGGAAGTTTGCTTATGCAAAGTTCCGTGGGCAGTACTGCGCCAGAGCAGACCGACAACGATGACAGCCAGAGTATGAGAACGTAACATATGAGGGGCTCCCTCTGCAAAGTCCCACAAGTACTACCAAATCCAGGAAGCGCATCGTGGATGAAGTCGAGACCAGTACCTTTCCCCGCGGTGATGGTGCGTGCCATTAGTACTGCCTGCATGAGTCAGGGAAACGCCTTTGAGGCTCTTCGCGAGGAGCACAGAAATGCACGACACCAGTGGAAGGAACAGAAGCGAGCTGAAGGGTGCGTGGATGTGTGGGAGTGCGGTTGCGTGAGGCCCTTTTTGCAGGCCCTTTCAAGGGTCTGCGAGCTGATGTCATCAGGGAAACGCCCTTGAAGCTCTTCGCGAGGAGCACCGACACCAGTGGAAGGAACAGAAGAGAGCTGAAGGGTGCGAGGATGTGTGGGAGTGCGGTTGCGTGAGGCCCTTTTTGCAAGCCCTTTCAGGGGTCTGTGAGCTGATGCCACGAATGCTTCGGCACATGCTCTCCTACTTGCACCTGAGTTTGGCGGTGGTTTAGGGTCTAAGGGTTTTCATCCAGGGGCGAGTTAATTTTGGCAACGCCTCCTGGCAGTTTTCTGTCTCACTGACACAAAATACGAGTACATTCTTTCGTGCAATGTTCTTGAGACAGTTAGAAATTACCCAGGGAAAGCAGATATCGAGCGTGTGGGATTCTCCCAATCGCTGTCCTTCATTGGCACAAGGCACCGTGAGCATGGGAGAGCGTATTTATGCTTTTTTTCTCCCAAGATATCCTCTGCTTGTACGAAAAACAACACAAAAGCACAGTTTTCTGGTCTTGCAAATTTGGCCCGCTGATGGAAGAGCCCCAGATTTTTCCAGAAGCAGGGCATCGTGGAAGGCAACAATGGCAGAAAAGTGCAATCCCGCGGTCCCTGTTTCGTATACAAATGTATGCATGAATATACGACTATGTATATACATATATATATATGTCTATGTGTATGTGCGTTTAAATTTAAACTAAAGTAATGTGTGTACCCCGCCAACCTCACTCCTCACTCCCCCTCCTCCCCTTTCCCCCTCCCTCCCTCACCCCCAGAAAAGGGCTTTGAACAAGATCGCAAGAATAACAAGAATAACAAGATAACGAGAACGAAGTTCTGATGTGCCGATCGAAAAAGAAAAAGCCCGCCATGATGTTTGCAGGCCTGGCATGCTTTCATCGCATGCTTTGATACCCGCGACGCAGCAGCATCTGCCTTGCGCCTTGCCAGCAATGGGTGTTACAGCTTTATGCAGCATGTAGCAGCTTTCTTTATTCCAGGATGTGGTTTTCACTGTGACATGGCCTGGACGGCTGAGGTACGGTGTGATCTTTGAGAGCGTCCCCTCGCTCCAAGTTCTCTTCAAGACTCCCAGGGCCAGTTGTGTCTGTAAAGGGCGAGAGTGGTTTATGAAGTCTTCACCTCATTGCCACCCTGTTTATGGCCCCATCCTGACAGGTGATCCAGTCCATACGTCTCATCGATGAGCTGCAGACCATCGCAGCTTGGAGACACCATCTTGCCCTGGACTTGCACTTTTTGCTTCGTAGTACTTGAGGTCGAGAGCCTGCTAAAGCCAAAAGAGCTGAAGCAGATGGTGGAGTCGCTTGCCTTTCGTGCGGGCCTAAAACCAGATTTCCTTTTCACGCAATCGACGCAATCGAGCCCTCAGGTCACCTCAACTTCGAGGCTGTAGCACAGAGTCAGGGCGAGTTGAAGATTTGTCTTGGAATGATTCGCTTTTGCCAGAGGTTACTGTCCCCAGAGCCATGATTTTTCGAGACGCCTTTAGCTGAGTGCTTGTGGATGCGCAAGGAGAGCGAACCCTCCCCTCATGAACCATGAGCTCAGGCCATCGTGGACTGTCTCGGCGCAGAGCTGGCTGATAACCTTGCAGTGGAGGTGGCCGCATGCAATGTTGCGCATTCGGTGCATGTATGACACTGTGTGAACGGGTCCATCGCCACAAAGAGACCGTGTGACTGTTTTTGGAGGTGAGAATCGGATTCATGGCTCTTTTTGGATGGATTGGAGGAGTCACTTGGCGGCAAATCAGCTGCAGTTATTGCAAGAGCTCTGTCCCTTTCCTGCCGAGGCTTGCATCTATGTCAGAAATCACTTCGCAGACCGTCTGAAGATTCTGCGAGAAAGCTGGACAAAGGCTGGGTGCTCAACACATCTGCCGGCGACAGGCCGGTTAGACAGGGTTTGCACCTCAATCTTTGCATGCCGAGGTTAACAGGGGAAACGCCAAGAATGAGGAAGCAAGGCTGCTCCATGTACAGATGCAGCTTTACTGCGAGCCGTTCTTTTCTTGACGCTCGGATCCAACCCAAGAATTCCGCCACGCAGGATAGAAACTGAAGCAATCGCAGCTCAGCAAGCTGTGGAGGACAGAGGGCCTGCAGTGACATCTGTAGCTGTGGGACAGGTCTGGTATCTTATCTACTTTTCCATGTCGACATGCACCGGATGCTCGAGCATTTAGGCTGCAGCGTTTTCAAAGCAGACATTGTTTCCTCATAGTCCGTTCCCCTTATCTCCTTCATGGCGGAGATGGCGGCCGAGCGGCCTCGCCCGGCAGATGAAGGTGATGAAGCGAGAGGGGAAGACGATGGTGAGAGCATGTCGGAGCTCGGTGACTTCGGAGCGGTTTTCTGCCATCCTCCCTCCCTCCCTCCCTCTCTCTCCCTCTCTCTCTCTCTCTCTCTCTCCCTCTCTCTCTCTTTTTTTTTTTTCTCTCTCTCTCTCTCTTTTTATATTGTTTTTGTTTTTTGCCTCCACATCTGCCTCTCAAGCCACCTTCGATTCCTGCTGCCGCGCGAGGCCGGCGAAGGCGCTGGCAGCGAAGCGGAAACACCGAGGCCAAGGAGGCCCTGGGGGCCACGGAGCGTTTTTGGAGAGGCAGAAAACAATGATGAAACGATCTGAACTATGTGGCCATGTATGTTTCATATGCTCTTGGGCTTCACTACCTTCATTGTCCGTTTTTTCTCGCAGCTGGAGGGCTACGCTCCTTCTG